TTACAACGAAAAGTAGCCTTTGGAATTGCACTGATGGCAGCATTAATGGAAGATTCTAGCAGCTTTATAGCTTACTGACATGAATGATAATGACTCTTAGTAGGTGATGCAAGTTACAGAAACTTCATTAGTTAATGCAATTATTGCAAAAGGACTGCACGGATATAAAACCATTTAATCACAGCACCACTTCTTTCAAGTGCTTACAATGCACAATACGACAAAACAAGGGCATCGGGAAACTTCTAGTTTTAATCACAGATTTAAAATGAATTTTGTTCAGCATCACAGAACAGCCTTTTGTGTACTGGAATTTCAAAGAAGGAAAAATTACACCTACACAGTAAATACCTCATCAAATATGAAGAGGCCTGGCATTTACTTTTAGATACTTATGCAAACTACATGTGGTTTAAACTTAGAGAATAGTGTAATTTGCTTTAAAAAATACTGAAAGAATAGTTAACTTACTCTGTTAAAGTTCCACATAAAGAAAAGTATCAACTTCAGTTATATCAATGTAGTGGAGAAAGAGATCTAGGCAGTTGATTTACTCAACTCTGCAATGAAAACATTCTAGTCTGCAGTGGTACCTTTTTTGAAAGCCAATGGAGATTATTTTATGTAATGGGTCAAAACAGATGTCCTGCACTATGACCCACTTCCCCATAATGGTGTTAAATCTAACAAAGAAGGTTTTTGGTTGGTTTGGTTGTAGATTTTTTTTCTTGGTTTTCTTTTTTGTTTGTTTGTTTATTTTCCCCATTTCTTTCCTGTATATCTATACTTAGAAGCACATTTTTTTACAGCTAAAACAGTAACAAAATAATCTTTAAAGCTAGTTGTTCAGATGTGAAGAGACATTACTGAAGATAAACACTGTTGCTGTAATAAAGACTCTGTTACAGGTACTGCAAGATTATTATAAAATCACTGAAAACTTTTGAAATGCTTTCCATGTTTCTCTCTCATATGCTGTGTATGAAGTTCCCTTCAACAGAAATCATGTTTTGCCACTACTGCTAAAATTGTCTTAGCAGAAAAGGTATTTTAACAGTTTGCTATAAGAAGATAAAACTCGAATTCCTAATATTTTAGGATCCTTGTCTAGGACTAGAAGAATATATTTCCTAATTCTTAGAATAAAGTTAAGAACAGAAATTTTAACATGAGTAAGTCCGAAGTACAAACAAAAATAATATGAAGATAAATAGTAGCTTTAGCTTTATTAATGCTAAAAAGTCTTGTTTTAGACTACTAAAACAATCTGCTACAGTACCTCAACTAGCCATGGATACTATATAATTAACTACTTAGGTTACCACCCCATTTTTACCACATATCCTTCAATTTTACAGCCCATTTTTCCATTTTGTTATGCTTCATAAATCCCATTGCTTCTCCCACACTTTTCATCCATTTTTCCTTCTAGGCTGTCTGCAGAAAGAGAATGGTAAACTGGCAGTTTTCATCTGAACATCATCAATCAGGGAAAATAAATGAAGTTTTCTTCACTACGAACTTTTTTAATTAAACTGGAATAGAAACTGTTTCAAGGCTGACAAAATGTAACTGGTTTCTTGTTTGAAGGTTGATTCTAAGATTTTGCTAGAATTTTACAAAGGAAACATTTTTCTGCTACTGTAATCCAGATGCCTGTTAATCAGTCTCTAACAGTGGCCTAGACGATCACAAAAACTGCTGGCACTTTGTCAGAAAGTCATCATTTTTCATTTCACTGTATTTTGTTTCAGAGCACAGCACTCTACAGTCTTTCCTTCTGTATTACTTCTGTATTACTAATGCATAGCAACATATGTAAAAGCTAACTTTAATTATCTTTTCTATAGTTGGAATGTTACACAAGAAGAAACAAAATTAGTTTAAAAAGCAGGGAAAACTTGCAAAATTATGTAAGATAATTGTTTCTTTGTTCAGTAAATTACTGGGTGATGCTTTGATACTAGAAGATGAACACAAACCAGTAATTCTTAGGATTTAACTTTGGGCTGCTAGTTTCAGTGCTCTAACATATGATTGTTTTTGCAGCATAAACAGACTCTTCTTCTGTTACAACTTTATTTTTCTCTTGAGGCATTATCTCGAGAGTTCTCTGTTTAAACATATTCATCAGACCTGTACGGGTATCTTATAGAAACAGATGAAAAATATGAGTTTCAAAATATTTAGATGACACTTCTCTGTATGAAATGAAGTCTTTCCACCATCTCCATATGTTTTTTTCTCGTCCCTTCAAAAGCATTCATTTTTTTTATAGAATCAGCAATAAACAGAAAAATCATATTTTTTTCATGACATTAAAATGAAGAAGGTAGTCTGAATCTTTTTTAGAGTGTTTCAATAGGTTTCTTTTCTGTCTAAAAGAAGCCATGAAAAAGGTGTTTGTAGAAGATGTATCATCATCTAGCTGGCACTCAGTGGTTGGACTAATATCAAGAATACTGACTGGTAAGACTATAAATCTACTAAGGTACAACTGTTGTTATCAGCTGTTAGGAGCTGAAAGAGAATACATTTAAACTTGATGAGGATTATTGGTAAAATCTCCTTATAAATATACAGTTTATTAAAAAGGGGCACTTTGAATAAACACATTTTGAGGGAAAAAAAGCCCCGAAAATCTCCTTCAGCATAATTTATGAGATCAGGCCAGGGCGAAACAGACAAAAAGCTACAAAAGCAGAGGTCAGCTTTTGACTTGTTCATTTAATTTCTGCCAAACTTACTTGGACGAAGTCTTCAAGTCTGACCTGCGCATTTGAAGAAGCTACATAAGCAGTATTTGCACAGGCAAGCAGAGATATCTAGATGGATGTTTCTATCATACCACAGTCTTGTCAACAGTTAGATTTGTGAATCTTTGAGTTTGAATACTTATGGAAGGCCTGGACTTGCTTCAGAGGTATCCAGTGAATTCTGCCCTGCCAGAGACCACTTGGTCAGTGAGGGTGCTTCGAAGAGAGCATACAAAAATCCTGCTTTCAATCTGAGCTGCAGTATTCCTTGACAGGACATTTAGCCACACAGAGTTCAGCTCAAAAAGCTAGACTAGACCTTTTAAAACAAGTTTTGTGGTCCCTGATGGGTTTAGGAGATTTTATTCAGACTTCTAACTGTATTTAGGAAGAAAACGAAACCAAAACCAACTTCACCCAACAATACCGCCCTCAAAAAATGTGTGAACCATACATACACACATCAAAATCTACTATATACACATGTGCATAAGCAAACATACTGACAAAATAAACTGCCCATTTCAAGTACAGTTACAGTTTTATCATAACAAATAAATGAATTTAGGTTCATAAAGTCAGACTAATTTGTTGTCATGCTGAACTGAAACCCCAAGAGTATTTATTTTTTTTGACAGTTTCCTCTTTACAAAGAATTGTTTTTCCAAGTTTGTATGAATTACATTCCCTTCAAAAATATATTTTTCTTACAACAACTTCAGAGACTGCACGAGTACTAAGAAAAATCAACACTGAAGTAGCCATCTTTATGTCATACCAAGTATAACACACCCTGCCAGTTCATTGTGCTTGTCAATATAGAAGTTCTTCTGTCTTAAAAAACAATGCATAAAGTTTTACAAAATGTCTAAAAATAAATTCCAACCCCATCCTATTTCTTCTACAAAATATGAGGAAAAAATAATATATATATCTTCTGTAATATATGAAGAAAAATGCTGAAGTATGACAGCTTCAACTACTTTAATTTAGAATAATGTACATAATTAATTTTGAGGTGGGAAGGCAACATACTAATGTAAAAAAATCTACATATATACATGGGTAAGAGGTTATAATAGAAAAAACAGCATGAAATTATATAATTTCAGTTTTTTTTTCTTAGGTGTACAAGTACTTAAGCTAATTTCTTGTGCTTTTCCATTAAAATGCAGTAGTTATATAAATGCCTACATACTATTTTTCCTATAGCTGCTTATGTAGGAGATGGAATTTGTGTGTCTGAATTACCTCCAAATGAAGGACAGATATGCACCTGAATTTCTACATCCTGCATGAATTTTTAAATTGCTGAATTCGGTAACAGTGGTGGAGTTAAAGGCACTCACACTTGTATGGGTGTAAGGCCTGATTTAGATGGTATGCTTTGACAACCATTAGAAGAATATTTTTCTGAAACAAGCAGGTATTCTCAGTTTTGATTCCCATTGAGAATACACATAGAACTCCTCAGCTCAGCAAGTACTGTCCATGCCCAGAAGCAGACATAAGTAGTCTGGGAAATTAATACTAAATTTCAGCTGTTTTGGGATCTCAATGGTTTTGAGAATTTGGAAGTTACAATTCGATCAGCACAGGCATCAAGTAAGCATCTTGTATGAATTCAGTTCTATTTGCAATACTCAGAGTAGGTTTACACAAATTGCATAATAAATGAAACAGAAACTGGTAATTACTGTGAAAAGGTTAAAGATAACAGTACAATGATGCATTCAAAGCAGCAAGTTAATAGAAAAGTAAATGAGTGCATGTCAAACAGCTGCTCATGCAATGTTACAGCACCTTAAATTTTTTGAGGTTTTACAGTTTCAAATACTTGGCAAATTCATAAACTGAAGATCAAGAAACTGCTTTAACCAATGCACTACTTGTGCTACCTCATTACAGAAAAAAAACTTCCAGCCAAATAAGCACTGTAATTCCAAGCTCTGAATTTTGAAAACTTATCTTTAGAAAATGAAAACTTACTAAAGAAGTGCAAAGCAGCTTACCTGTCTACTCTTCTTCCTAGACCCTATAATGATAGCCTGTTAGTTGAGCTCTATTTTCACAAGAGTAAAATTCATTATGCTTTAAATAAACATGGTTACCACATTGAACATACAAAAGAAGCAACCTTCTTATGCGCCTTTGGTTAACACAAGGATCTAATAGTGATTAGTACTAAAGATTGAAACACTATTTTTTGTGCACATTTGGATAGTAGTTAAAATATACTTTTACCTCTCCTGACATGTCGGGTGCCATAGGAATGACTGGCCACAAAGAAGAATAGATTCCAAAAAACACTACCCAAAGTGCTATGCTGCCCCAGATAGCTATATGGCTGAACTGTAAAAAAACACAAACAAAAAACCCAGAAAAATCATCACAGGTGCATTATGACACAAAAAAAATCTTTCCTACTTAGTATTTAAAATGCAAATCTGATGTATTGGATGAAATTTCCATGACTTGTATTAATTTAACTCTGTTACTTCAATTAGTTATTTCTTAACACAAAAATCATAGAATCATAGAGTAGTTAGGGGTAGAAAGGACCTCAAGATCATGTAGTTCCAACCCCCCTGCCATGGGCAGGAGCACCACACACTAAATCATGTCACCCAAGCCTCTGTCCAACCTCGCCTTGTACGCTGCCAGGGATGGAGCATTCACAACATTCTTAGGCAACCTGTGCTAGTGGCTCACCACCCTCACAGTAAAGAACTTCTTGCTTATATCTAACCTAAACTTTCTCTATTTAAGTTTAATCCCTTTTCCCCTTGTCCTGTTGCTACAACGATACTTTCAGCAGCAATATTACTGCATTTTAAGCAAACTTAAGTAAAGTTACAATCAGTTCAGAGTAATTTGATTTTTCTAGTTTAAGGATTACTTTTAAGTCTTATCCCAATGTCCTTCTTTTCAATATAAAGCATTACTTTTTGCATGTGGATATTCTTTCCATGCAGTAACCACAGTTTAGTTTGATACTGTGGGGAGGGCTGACAAACTGTGAGGGTGTAATACAATAAATGAGAAAAAAGAACATAGTTATTCATCACATTTTATAGAACATTTAAGAATATAGAAAAGACATTTGCTTACCAAAGTCCAATATGAGGTCTCTAATCCAGCCTTCAAACACACAGTCAGAACCACAAACTTGAAGAGAGAGAGAGGATTCAGAATTAAGATGAGAATCTTAGCATACAGAGTTCATTAGTTTGGTTGAACTTCCAGGAGAACAGAAGAAAAAGTTCAATGATTTTCATACTTCATGTTTACTTGCACAAATGCAATAAGGGAAAATATAATCAATCTCTTAAATTTAAATGTGATTTCCTTAATAATAGTCAACAAAGTACTATGTGTGTCCATGCACCTAGCTCCTTTTATGGAGCAGTCTCTGAAAACATCATGTTGTTGTCCTGTAGGACATGCTCCATTTTAGTTTAGATGAGCAGTAGGAGAAAATTTATAATTTCACAGCAAGGACTAGTTGATTCAGGAAAATCTCCTTCCTTTGAAATTCACACAAACAAAAATTCTTAGCAAAGAAATAGTTATTAAATTTTGTAAATCACATGTAAATATGTATCGCAACTTCTGCTTTATGTGCAATCTGAAGAACATGAGGCTGAAAGACTGAGTCACAAAGACCAAGCTCCAATGGTTACAGCTATAGTTTAAACTCTAGTTTGTTGTCCAGGTTGGCAGCAATGATGTACATGAATTTGTCTGTGGCTGAACTTCAAGAAGATTTAGAATTCAGAAATTTACTTCAATCGGAAGCTGAAAATAACTGGTTAAATATAAATGACAATGTCTGTGTACTATGTCTGGTGCACAGAAAGATACAAATCCTGCCAGAAAGCTTTCACTCTAGTTCTGTGTTTATACTTTTAATTCTGGAAGCTCCTATTTCAACTATTGCTGCATTATTAAGAACAAAGACAGAAAGAAACAAACAAAAAACACACACAAAAAAATCACAGTGCCACAACTTCCTTATATAAAACGTGTGAAATCTAATGAGAAGAAAAAGGGCCATGATGAGTTAGACTTAGTCTAACCATTTCTGGTGCTATATTTGGACAAATGAAATAAAGTAATTATGGCTAAAAAAGTACTCATCTGGTAATGCCTGCTTGCTACTGTTGTGTTGGTCATAAGAAAGAAAACATCCTTTAAGATCATGTCAGGAATTCTTATTGCATAGACAGAGTATACACAAAACAAACATTGCATGTCTCTATAAAAGGAGATAGACACTGTGTGAATATACACCCTCCCTGCATCTTAACTAACACCCCTAACAAAGTTACCAACTATACACAGCAGTTTCCTCAAGAATGTGGGTTTTATTGCTCCCTCTCCCCCACCTTGATCCAACCTAACAGTAGCTCACTAAATCCTACCCAGGAAACAAGAAATCAAACTGGTATTTTGTATAAGGCACTGAGCTTCTTTAAAAAGACCTCTCAAGAACAGTCATACAAATATTTTCATAGCACTCCTATTTGAAATTTATGGTTTAAGAAATGATTCCAGGACATGATATGAATTCCATGCACATTCCTGACCTCCTCTGTGGATCCAAAGAAATTATATTTATTTCTGAATTCTTTTGCTACTGATTTTTGCCCAACTGATAAATGTAGACTTCTTAAAACCAGATTAAAAGCTGTGGGAAGAATGAGAAGTACCTCAGCCTAATGATTTTGATATTTTAAAACGATGTCTGACAAATGTCAGTGCAGATACACTGCACAAGCACAGATATTTTTAGTCTTTAATTCTCCTTTCTGCTCCCCCAATTGTGAAACTCTCTCAGATCTTCATGTGTTTTCCAGACCTCCCTGAATTCCTGTGCAAGAGGAGGAATACATCAACTGCAACCTCCACCTCTCCCTAGATTTTCAATCTGAAGTGGATAATCTGGAAAACAAATGAAAAAGCAGGTTGTCTGGACTTAAAATTGTGAAATGATGATTTCTTGGGGATTCTTTGCCATTCTGCAGGTTAATAGCAAGCAGTTAGCCTCTGGAAATGGTGCAGTTTCAGCTCTCCTAGTTGAAAACCAGTTGCAGAAGGTGACAGAAAAATTACACTGACTTTTATTTTAGCATTTATGGATATGCTTTTCAAAAAGTAATGAGTAGCTCCAGATTACTATACTGAAAGTATCAGAAATTAATTTCTGAAGGTGGTGGAAAATATAATATTGCTACAAATGTGAAAATGCAAGCTTTTATGTTTATGTTTTATGTTTATCAACTGATGTCACAGATGATACTTGGATTTTCTGCAGTACTGTAAGATTTCTAGACTTATCCATTGATAGGTTACAATCTAAACAACAGCATTTTTCAAATGCTCAGTTTCAAAAGACCTAGTGTAATCCAGTAAACCCCTAGCACAATATATGTAACTTGTTTTCTCCTGGTGTCAAGCTTTGCTTTTGGAAAGAAGCACAGAGCAAAGTGATTTGGGCAGATGAAGTTCTGAGTTTGTTTCAGGAAAGAACACCAGCTGTGATTGCAGTATGTTGAATAGTTGGGTTTAGCAAGGGAACAGTGCTAACTCACTCTACAGAATGATGGCCAATACAAAGAATACTTTTAGAGCAATCAAGGAAAGCAGATGCTATCATAAAACCAGGCTTAGGTGATAGGACAGGTAAGGTTACGCAACTCATGTATACATACATAAAACTCATAAAATAAACTTCTGCTGAATTGAGCAACACTGCAACTTCTAAGTACATAGATCAGTGAAATTAGGATTAAAGTAAGGTGAAAACCTGGTCCTTAGAGTACCTCTTCTCAAGAAGAACATGTCTTACTTACAGCAACAGGTGGTTCTGGTAGATACTCTTATGAAGTACTTATCAATATTGGGGAATGCTGTGACACTCAGATAAATGCTGACTTCTAAACACTGCTCCGTGTTATGAGATCATAATACAAATAGACCCATGTCAGTTGAACTACTTCTGTCATGACTGAGCTATGACAATGACTGTGACCTTACATCTTAATTTTGTTAAGACGTGCACAGAAAACACCCAGAATATTCCACCCATCCCTAATGGAGATCAGTTCATCATATGATAGATTGCATGATCATATGCAACTACTGCTGACAAAACATGCTAGGCTTGCCTTTTGGAACATGGAAAGGGAAGTGTAGAGAAAATAAACTTTTAAGAGATTGTGTGAACAAACAAAGTGTGCCCAAAAGAACCAGTTTAAAGGCCAAGTACTGACTGGCAGAAGAAACATTTTATTTTAGCTGGCACAGAAGCAGGAAATACATAGAAGGGGCTGTGTTTACTCGGTCTTTTATGCTCTTCAACCTTTCTGGTCAGCTGTCCAGAAAACACTATTCAAAATGTTCTCTGATATGTAGATGTTGACAGTAGTTACATTCTCAGAGGACTATTTCTAGAACATTTTCCTTTTATCTATGTTATGGTATCTCCCTATTCCCTAAGGAAAGATTTTTGCAAGAATTATTTGTACTGAAAAACAGATCTTCAGCTTCATTAATTTATTCTAGGACATAAAAGATTAAAAGAACAAAACAAACCAATAATGACTAATATTTCTGAGAATAACAGATTACTGTCAGGTGTGGGTCAAGTAGGTGTCATTTTGGCAGTCTTCTTGTCTCTGAAGAGACATCCCACAAACCTTGGTTCCATGTGGCTCTAATTCCTCTTTCAAAGCCCCATGATAAATTAAGAAAGGGAGGACAGAACTGTATCTTCATAAATCCACAAACCAGTTCTAGTAAAGGATAGGTGTATCTTCTGCATTTTTATTGCTTTGTCATTATTTTATATGCTTTGTTTAAAAACTGGAATTAGAATACAAAATGTACTTCAAAGCTTCTCAAGGAGTCATTCAAGAGCTATTTCCTACTCTTAAGGTACTGCAATGAATCAAGTTTTCCCTGTAGAGAATTATAAATAAAAATAAACCCACATCACTTTAATAGTTAAAGATAGAGCCAATATAGATAGACAATACAGCACCACATAACTATAGGAAGACTTACAGTGTATACAGTGTTTCCCAGGAGCAGGTAATCTGAAGTTTTGCCATTGCCAAATACAGTACCTGGAGAAGGAAATAGCGATAAAAACATTTAAGCACTCACAATTGCAGTCCCTATATATAAAATCTTTTTGGTACAACAGAGATGGCAGCATCTCTAGAGGGTGCTAACACAAGATTCCACCTTGAACTCTATTGAACAGTAGAGAACTATGACTTCCGTAATTTTTAATCCCTTAAAATATTCAGTGACTTCAGGAATTATGCTAGAAATAGGAGCTTTTTGTAACATCATATATGAAATGAGTAATATTTTATTTGGCAATAATTTAGAGCAACTTTTACAATCAGAGATACAGTATCATACCTTCAGAATAATATGAAATATAATCACTGCAGTGCACATTGATTGTAGCATATAAGTAAACACAAAGGTTAGAGAATCAGATTTTCACTGATTCTGGATATTTCTGGTATAGAAATTTATCTTTGCTCTTATCCAAATTTCTACAGAATATACTCAATTTTAAATCTTGAGATGCTTGCTATGAGTAACATTTTCAAAATTTACCCAACAAATCTGTGGCTTCTTATAAATATATATCCATTTTACACACATGGGTACACACACAGCATTTACACAAAGAGTCAGTGCCCTAAAGAGATGTGTTTGCATAAAATTCACGTCTACTGTAGTTCTTAAATTCAGAATTCTGAAGCGGTGCATTTAGGCTTGTTTGACAAAACTTATTTTATGACTACTGCTAGAGCAAAGGCTTTCCTGATCCCAGTTCTATGGAAGTTCCTGGCAGACTTGGGACAACACACAACTAAACTACACAGAGGGAATTTCTCATTCTCAATTAGAAGTAATGAGCTTGCTAAATTTTCACATATTCGGTTTAGAAATGCTTTTAGCACTTAAGATTGTTCATATACTGCAACTAAACCAGGACACATATTCTGTTGTAGCAGTTCTAATCACTGGGATACTTTTTTTACTGCCATCATATAAAAATATATCAAGGTACTGTGCATGCACTAGGGAAAAATAAAAGTACAAGACCAAAAAAAAAAAAAAAAAGGAAAGAAAAGAAAAATAAAAGAAGAAGAATAAGAAATCCTGCTAATACTGAGACAGCATAGGAAAGGCTGTTTTTCAAAAGGTGTGTTGGGGGAAAGAATAATAAAGGTGTTTGTTCTTTTCCAACCTTCATATCACCTTTACAATGAAATTAATTTTAGTCATGGATCAAGACTGTTCCTTCTAAAAAGCTTTTCAGGACCTGTGAGGCCAGTTATCACACACACACAAAAAATCTATGTATTGATGATTGCCTCTTCTGGAAGAGACAGCAGGTGGAAGTTCATACAAATAGTCCTCCTTAACCAGCTGTCTCGCATTACACAATGAGGAGCTCACAATGGCTGCCTCCTTTGCTCTAGTGATACTGGTTGCATTCCTGGCACTTCCCTGATTTAACTTTCTTCCTGGACACACTAGCACATCACAAAGGACTACAAGAGTTCTAGAAGCCTGAAAACACAGCTGAGACTGTGGTTCATTTTAAAGGTTAGAAAAGAAGCAGCAGTTGTACACAAAAGTTTTGCTTCTGCCATTTACTGTCATGTTGACAAAGCTGTATCAGAAGAAGCCTTTGTAAAAATTTAGGTCCTTGTTGCCTTTCAAGTACACATGACAGTCCATAATGTACAAAGACTAGTTTTGTGTAGTGTTGTTCCAGAACATGGAGCAAGCTCTGACAAACAATTGCTACGACTCTATACCTATTCTCTGATTGCGTATTTCTTGGTACACTCTACCACAAAGCATGCAGCTTGAAATTTTCCACTTAGAGACAAGAAAGAGGTGAGACTACGTTGTAACTCAGACTAAATTGTAAACAGGAGAAAATACTCAAAAGAAAATCATAGAATGAGAGCTCAGACATTTTAATGATCTTCAAGATCTGATTATCAATATCAAATTGAGTAGGTATTCTAATAAATACCTGCTCAAACTTGCACTCCACTGCTTTACAATATATACATAACAGTAAAAGCATAATGAGCATAAAACAGAGGAACAGGCAGGCAGATAAGTCTGTTCCCATCACATGTGCTGGGACTCAGCACCCATATGAACTCTTATACACGAAGCTGAGCTATCCCCCATTCTTCCCATTCCTCCTTTTATGTCTCAGGATCCTCTCTGGGCCTCTTTGCTAAGACAAGGTAGAGATCTGTTCTCAGAAATTCCTCTCTCTGGTAGATCTCTCTGGCACTCATCAGCCCCTCCCAAGGAAACTAATAGCATTATTTCCTTTTCCTCTTCACATGCACAGACATCAGATTTAATTAACAGCAGCTCCCATCCTGTGCTCATCTCCCCTTCATGCAGAACTTCGCACCAGCTGGACCCATAGCAGGTTCTGATTATACCACCCATCAACTACACTATCTCCAGGTCCCAGTTCTGGTCCCTTACTCACCTGGCCTTTCTCTAAGAATGAAAGAGGAAGACAAGGCAATTTGTTCAGACATGTAGAGGCCACTTGCCAGCAGGTCAGTTCTAGCCCAGGGGCTTTGAGCTGAAGAGGCCTGTGCTACACTGCTCTCACAACCAATCATGCAAGTTATCTCAGCTTTGCCATTCACACATGAACTCTATTCTGCATCATCACATAGAATCATAGAATGGTTAGGATTGTAAAGGACCTTAAGATCATCTAGTTCCAACCCCCCTGCCATGGGTAGGGACACCTCACACTAAACCATCTCACCCAAGGCTTCGTTCAACCTGGTCTTGAACAGTGCCAGGGACGGAGCATTCACAACCTCCCTTGGCAGCCTTGCCTCACCACCCTAACAGGAAAGAATTTCCTCCTTATATCCAATCTAAACTTCCCCTGTTTAAACACTTTTCCACTGTGTAGAATCATAGAAAGGGTTGGAAAGGACCTTAAGATCGTCAAGTTCCAACACACCTGCCATGGGCAGGGACACCTCACACTAAACCATCTCACCCAAGGCTCTGTCCAACGTGGCCTTCAACACCACCAGGGATGGAGCAGTCACAACTTCCCTGGGAAACCCATTCCAGTGACTCACCACCCTTACAGTAAAGAGCTTCCTCCTTATATCCAATTTAAACTTCCCCTGTTTAAGTTTTAACCCATTACCCCTTGTCCTATCACTACAGTCCCTAGTGAAGAGTCCCTCCCCAGCATCCCTATAGGCCCCCTATTAGATACTGGAAGGCTGCTATGAGGTCTCCACACAGCTTTCTTCTTCTTCAGGCTGGCCAGGCCCAAATTTCTCAACCACTTGGCATGGTTAAACTTCATGAGGTTGGCATCAGACCACCTCACAAGTGTGTCGAGGTCCCTCTGGATGGCATTCCTTCCCTCCAGCGTATCAACCGAACCACACAGCTTGGTGTCATCAGCAAACTTGGTGAGGGCGCACTCAATCCCACTGTCCATGTCAGTGATGAAGATGTTGAACAAGACCGGCCCCAACACCGATCCCTGAGGGACGCCACTCGTTACTGGTCTCCAGTCGGACACTGAGCCATTGACCACAACTCTTTGCATGCAGCCATCCAGCCAGTTCTTTATCCACCGAGTGGTCCATCCATCAAATTGATGTATCTCCAATTTAGAGACAAGGATGTCGTGTGGGACGCTTTGCACAAGTCCAGGTAGATGACATCAGCTGCTCTAGCCCTGTCCATCAGTTCCATAGCCCCATTACAGAAGGCCACCAAATTGGTCAGGCAGGATTTCCCTTAGTGAAGCCATTCTGGCTGTCACCAACCACCTCACTGTTTTTCATGTGCCTTAGCACGCCTTCCAGGAGAATCTGCTCCAAGATTTTGCCAGGCACAGAGGTGAGACTGACTGGTCTGTAATTCCCCGAGTCATCCATTTTCCCCTTTTTGAAAATGAGGGTTATATTACCCTTTTCTAGTTGTTGGGAACTTCACCTGACTGCCATGATTTTTCAAGTATGATGGCCAGCAGCTTAGCAACTTCATTCGTCAGCTCCTTCATGACCCGGGGATGGATTTCATGAGGTCCCATGCACTTGTATACATTCAGGTTTTTAAGAAGGTCTCGAAGCAGATCCTCTCCTACAGTAGGTCTAGGGTCTTCATTCTCACAGTCGCTGTGTCTGACTTCCAAGTCAAAGAGGTCATTATGAACCTTAGCCTTCTCCAAATCCACGGTAGCCAGTGCTCCTGATAGCTGCCAGAGATGGCCCATGTTGTCCCTAGACTGTCTTTTATTTGCAATGTACCTGTAGAATCCCTTCCTGTTATCCTTAACATCCCCAGCCAAGTTGAATTCTAACTGGGCCTTAGCTTTCCTAACCTGGTCCCTAGCTTCCCAGACAGCATCCCTGTATTCTTCCCAGGGCACCTGTCCTTGCTTCCACCTTTTATAAGCCTCTTTTTTCCCCTCTAAGTTTCCTCAGCAGCTCCATATCCATTCAAGGAGGTCTCCTGGCCCTCCTGCTGCACTTCCTTCTAGTTGGGATGCAACATTCTTGAGCTTGTAGCAGGTGATCCTTCAATATCAACCAACAGTCATGGGCCCCCCTGCCCTCTAGGGCTATATCCCATGGAACCTTACTAAGCAGGTTCCTGAAGAGGTCAAGGTCTGCTCTCTAAATGTGCAATGCATAGATCTCTCACATGGACTGATAACAGCTTTGAACAGAGATTTTGGTTTGGATTTAGTTTTAGAGTATGCATTGACATTTTGGGACATCCTTCCTCCTGGTCTGTCTAAACCTCTCTAATGCAAACTACTGCCACTGAGCTCACTCAAATCCAGTGTGAGAGTGGCCTCTCAGAGAAAACAGCCTGCTACCTAATTCCCTTTACCCATCAGAAGTCACTGAGCATAAAATACTCTGCAACAAGTCTTCCCCTTAACCTTTTTGAGCACAAACAGCTGTGACCGTATCATTATCTAGTCTCAACAGTTAGAAAATGTTCATAGGAGTATTTCTATCTTATATGCTGGGCCAGACTGCCGGGTTGTTTCAGGGAAACTGAGCAGACTTTTAGTTTTACAGAAAAGCTGCAGCCCCCACAACACTGCCACAAACTGGAAGCAGTGCTTTAAAGTTTTGTCTAATTAACACAGCTTTCCTCCCAACCACTTCCTTCTGTAGCTCAGGTGCAAACACAACAGTTGAACTGGAAGAGTGATGAGACTGAGCTGTCCAAGATGTCCCAGTTTCCTCTGCCACAAGCCAACTTACACAGAGGTAAACTAATGGGTTAGTATGCCCTTTAAGTAACAGGAGAAAAGGTCAGCAATAAAAGTTTACAAAACGTAAATAAAATAAAAATAAAAAAAGTTTACAAAATGTAAGAGATAATGCAAGTGACAGCAGTAATTTAGGATCTTGTAGGTATTTATCATGGCAGTGTATTATATACAAAACCTAGCATAATTAAATAGCAATCTCTTTATCTCCATCTTGCTTCAGTTTGCTTAAAACCCATTCATATAGTTTAATGTATATGTACATAACATTACTCCTACTTTTCAACAGATTAAAAAAAAAAACACATTAAATATACTGCACTTACTCTAGTTCTAGAAATAGTATCTTGAAATTTAACCACACAAACCTGTTAGCATTCATAAAGTTTTATTAAGAACAAAGAAGGTATTAAGGTATTTCATACCTTTCAACACTTATATTTTTATTTTTTGTAAGACTTACCATGCTGGAGGGCTTTTAGTGGAAACCAGAACAGAATGAATGAGTGGAAGAGGCCATTTAAACAATGAAACCAGAAAACCTAAGGGAAAACAGAAAATCCATGAGAACCATTTGCAATAAACTAGCTCTGTGAACCCTGACCTTTCTTTTTATCTGTGTGTTGGAGTCACAAAATGTGTTTTTGTCAGGCCAACACTGTGAAGTAATATAACTGACAGGCACTTTCTGCCTCTTAGCTCTTCATGGGTCATTTGTTTATTTTTATGCTTTGAAAAAAAAAAAAAAGTGTGTATTATCTCCTTCTTTTAATTTCAAATCAGAAGGCAAATTAAAAAGTATACATATGGGAATATCATCAGAAAAATTAAACTAAACCAGACAACTGGAACGATTGCTGCATTCTAGGTAGAGACTTAAAAAGGAATCTAGCTTTTACAATTTACATTTTGTGTAACAAGAAATTTTGATGGCAGAACAATCAAAACCTGAGTTTTACATATACCCATCTACATACTTCCACATACAAACAAATTAAAAAAGGACAAATAAAAGTATCTTTTTGGATGCCTCCTTAGATGCTACATTCCTGAAGTACATAGCTTCATCAAAATAAACTTCCTTTAATGTATTTGCTAAATAATTCACATTTTAATTTTCATTTGTAAAACATGCTTTCTACGGAGAACAGTATTAAGGATAAACAAGCTACTGATGCTTTCCATAATATATTGTATAAAAACATAGAAAGACTTAAATAAAAAATATGTAACTGATTTCCTGTGGTATAGCAATCACGTTTTTTCATTAACAACTCTTCTGGCTATCACAGCCTTTATTGTAACTAACTGACTGATGCGCATTATGAGTGTTAAGGTGCTCAAACAATTGAAATGAAGTTGCCTGCCTCGCATTTTCCACAATGTCTCAAAGTCTTTTGTTTGATTATACAACTACACTAGGTTGTATGATCCAATTTACACTCCAATACTTTGCACATTTGAACTTGTGCTACTCATTAACCTTTGTCTCTCTTTCTTGCTCTGTCATTACCAGAAGTTTTTATTTGACAGAAAGCACAGGTGGGTGCAAGAAAAATTAGTTCTACTTTTCCATTTTCCTGACCAATTCTTATTTGTCACATGCTAATCCTTTAACCTCTGTCATGACCTTATAACCTTTGATCCCTTTTACCATAACAAACATCTGCATCAACATTCAAGGCAGTAATGTTTCCAAATCTTTAACACCAACTATTCAACTTATATAGGTGGGAATTTTGTAGCTGGGAAGTTTGTAGATGTTTACTCATAGAAGTGTTGTATGTGAATAGCCACAGAATTTCCAATGAAGTTAACAATACACCGGTACAATAATAAAAATAATAAGGCTTATTTAAAAGCAGGAGAAAAATCCAACAATTGTAACTCATGACTTAGATTATTTATTAAAGTCACAACACAAAAGTGGCTCTATTAATGGACTCTAAAAAGTCTGACATTTGTAAAGCATTCACTGTGACACATGAAACTATTTTCCCTAGTTTCCTTACAACTTTCAGGTTTGTTTTTTGTAGGTGAAGCAATGAAGTGCAGAAGTAGAAAAATCTCATGCGCTTCAGTGAACATAGATAGTTTAGACAAATAATTCTATATAGATAAGGGTATTCCAGTTTTACAGAACAAGTGGCACAGATATAAGAGCTAAGCATGCTGCGTTGGCTTTACACGTCTACTTACAGAGCAGGAATTGTTAATTCAATGACAGACTGAAAATATCCAAGTTCAACATACAATGATATTACTTGAAATGTCCGAATTATATTTAGAAAAATCAAATATAAACTCTTATGAATGCCACAGTATTCATGAAATGGAACTTATTCAGGGATAAGTTTAATTTAAATTTTTTAAGAGATTACTTATGGAATACGTCCATAGAAATTGCTTATATATTTAATATATAAAAGTGTCCTACATTCTTTTACTACTTCTTGTGCTAGTATCTCCAAAATGTTGTCCATTTCCCACTAAAAGTAGCCTTGGATACCTTTTGATCTACTCTGACACATTCTTAACTGACTCAAAGTATGTTTTCCTAAAACTCAAATTAAACCATAAAATCACAACTCCAAATTGACAAAGAATAGTACCAAGTCACTCCTTCTACAAATCTAATGACAGTTCTTATTGTCCTCTGCAACACTTCTCCACAGGCTTCAGTAATCCATTTCCATATAACAGTACAAACACATACAGCCCAGCAACAGAGAGGTCTAATCGCTTCTGCCTATAGAAGACAGCTTTATTACCAGCAGAGGAAATGAAATAAGGGCTGAGGAAAAAAAATGCTTACTGTCCACTTCCATGCTTGCTAAAAATGAATAAATATGATTTGTACCATGCACAGACTCATGGACAACTAGAAAGAGTAGTCATAAAAATGCCCTCCGTTTTAAAATATGAGCAGTCTAGTACAAAAAGAATAACAATACTGAATTCCTATTAATTTCTGCTTTAATTATATTTGAATTTTTTTTTTTTTTAAACATACCTTAGTATTGAAGTCCAGTGCATTTTGGGAAGTCTTGTATAACTCAGGATATTTCAGCATATTTTCTTTTCGGCAGGATCTCTCAAATATACCAAGAGTTAGTGGAGGCATTGCTGTAAACATCTAACAGTTGGATTGAAACAAACAAACAAAAACATACTGGAAAACTTTAGAGGACTTGCTTAAAGATTACTTACTCAAGAAAATTTCATGTTTATGGTTGAAAATAACTGAAACCACACAAATCATCTTACCACATTGTAAAGACCTATACACCATCTTTCAAAAAGAATTTGTCCAGAAAAACCATTTACAAATGCAAACCAGACCTGAAAAAGATGAGAGTCACATATTACTTAGATATCTTGCAAGGTATGATAAATACATTTTTCTTCAGCTTCACAAAAAAAAAAAAAAAAAGGTATCCCTAAAACATGTTTACAATGCAATTGAAAGTGTTCTGATTTAAATTTATGCAAGGAAAAAAAAACCAACAAAACCAACCAATTTGCGTTCAAGACCAGATAATGGACAATCTAGTCAAATATATGAGCAATTCCACCTAAATATAAAAACATTTAAAGGAAGTAGCTATTTTCAGAAGAAATGTCATATTCTGTAAGTATTTAAGAGTGATTTAAACTCATTGCATTTATACTGCACTTAATTCATGATGAAATGAAAATGGTCTGAGAAATATGGTGTGTGTGTGTGATCCAACACATAAGAAGCAGTCATTTTACCATTAGCAAATCTCCTAACTAACAGAATTCATACAGTAAAAGTTGCAGTTTGAAACTGAAAAATGTACCAATATTCCTTTCTCATACATGAAACTCATGAAAGGATAAGGCTTTACCACTAAATCAACTACAACTACTTCTTTAAAAAACACTAACTCAACTACAGAGTACATTAGAGAGGCAACTGGATATTTATCTCTTTCACTGCCTAAGTTTTATCACTTTTTGCTAAAAAGTTAAAAAAAAAAAATAGAAAGCCACAATAACACATTTTCTTAGGTCTTTTATAAAAGCATGTAGCATGGCTTTCTCCTATTTCTTCATTTGTCTCTTATTTCAATGACAAAGTGGAGAAGCAGCATATCTGATGAATCTTTATTAACAAGTTACACAGAAACTATATATTGCCTATGACAAAACATAAACTGAAAGCTGACAGAAGTGAGGATCATCTGAACAACGTTCTACTCAATTTAACACTCATGTTTTTCAAGTGAATTCTTAGTTGCTGCTTTGCAGAGACTTTCCTGCAGCTCATATTTCGTTTGACTTTACCATGGAAGCATGAATTGCTACAATCATAATGTATGTCTACCAGTATGTATGTACTCAGGCTGGCCTCCAGGTGACCAGACTCTATGGCGAAGCTCAAATTTTTTTAACATATGGTGGAATGTCTGAACATGTTTGTAACTACTTTGAGATGGCAAAAAATCCTGAAATTAATAACAATTTACATTAAAAATGAGAAGTAAAATCCAACTCAAAAACTGCTATTTGTTTAACCAATAAATGAAAACTAAATAGATTTTTTTTGGTGGCTAATTATTGCACACAAGGTCATGAATGTTAGAGGTTCCGATACAGAGATACAGAATTTACTGAATTTTCTGAAATCTTATAATGTTAATTTTATTTACTTTGGTTAACCAGTATTTTCTGACCTTTCACTCTATTCACACTGAAAAGACAGTAGAATTAATTTATGCCAGTAGAGTCAGGTTTTTATAAGCTCTTGTCTATTTTGATTTTTGACTTTTGCAACAGTAGTTATCATTTAACCATGATGAATTTAGCAGACATTCATTAGCAGCAGTTTCTCAGTTGCTGAGTATGAAGGAACGAGATGAGTGCATAATCAGTTGTTCACTGCTGAACACATAATCATGTACTCAACATCAGCACAGTTTTTTGGCTGCTTTAGAACTAAGCTAAGTATGTGAACCTAATCCAGGGTCACCTAATCCATCATCACTGCTTGTATACAAGTTGTGGTCCTCAACTGCCATCTCCCTTTTCAACCTTCTCACTATACATAGGTCCTACGTTACTTTATTCCCAACCTAGGAAGATTGTTAGGAAGACAGCTCTAGAGAGAGGAGTGAAAGAATAGATATTATTACGATTTACCTCCCTCTTCCTTTGTTGTTTTTTTTTTTTTTTATCAAATACTGAAGTAAATTTTCGAATTCTTACTTTGAAAGAGTTAGGGTGGTGGAAAAGGGTCTTTTCAGTAGAGATTACGTGATTCAGTACCTGGCCATAAATATATGTGCACCTCATTACTGGTAATTTTAGACAGTTTAACAGAAGTACTGCTTTCTAGGAAGAAAATAAGACACACCGCAAGTAGATGTATAATTGACCCTTCATAACCAAGGAGCATACAAACCAACATTAACTTTCTGTTGTGATTTAACTAGCAGTCAAAATGTTACAAAACTCTCATTTAAAAAGAAAGGACCAAATATATTTACTGGATTTATTCCACATGCTCACTGCTCTTAAAGATAAGTGATGTTAAGCAACACTTGAAAATATTTTGGAGTCACTTTTATAAATAAATGAAAGTATTTAAGAAAAAATTCATTTACAATGGAATGGCATATACAAAATCGCTCCCAAGCCTTTTATTCCTTAAAAAGCATGTTGCTTTCAGTTTTAGTTTGTACAGAACTTAAGAGTTAAAAATTTTCAAGCTATTTAAACTGAAACCAGTTTTACTGTAGAATTGTAAAGAAATGCTTTAAGGCATAACATTAACTTCCTTAAACACTAGCATTTACTTTCTTCTAAAGAAAGCATGAAAGGTACAAGCATTTTAGGTCAGTTTAGTGTAATAAGGGACTGGAACTTATGTCGGTCAGAGCTCTAGATCCAGGCCAAGAAGAAATGAAATTTGGTAGCACCCCTGGATTCTAAAGTTCTTGTTGAATCTATCAAAAACCGGTTGGGAAGAGGAACTTTTTAATGTGGCTAAAACACTGTGCCCTCTGTAGGAGAAACACTACTATTTAGTGGAATACCAGACATACTGCTTAAAGAGACAGAGCATCTTTTAGTATCTAAACAGAAACATGGATTTTCTGTTGTTTGCAATAGATAGTTTTTGAATGTTCACATTAAGAACACCAATGGCTCAAAAATAACTGGCAGATGTAGAGGGAAAAAAAAAAAGGCAGGAAGAATAAATACAGCCCTCATCTCAAACTGTAAGAGGGGAAGAAAATAAGCTACTTTTTTACAACTTTTTACTTACACGAAAAAGCTACTATGGAGTTTAATACATTATTAATAGCTATAGTGACAAACTCCTCACAGTGAGAAATTTATTCATGGAAAGTATATTTCATTCTGATTATGATGGACAATGAAGGCAGCTGTACCCGCAAAGTAAGTTTTTAGGACATGCTGTACCTGATACTAATTTAGCAGCAGACTCAGCCACTTCCCTCTTAGAGGACAGGTCCTGCTCTAACTCAAATTACTAATCCAGCATCCCTATACAGCAAGATAGGTGATAGGTGTCTTTAAGAAGTAATTTAGACTACATACATGAGGGGGAAGTAAAAATTCAGACCATTTTATAGTTTTAACAGCTACATAATTTCCATGGAAAACAAAAGAGTTAGGTTCACAGCCCTTCTAAGATGAGACGGGCCTCTGTGCAGAACCTTGTATTTCGAAGTTTTCAAACCTTATAATGCAAAAAAGGGGGCATGTGCACAATCACTTTCTCCTGTTGGTGCAGTTTGCATACATTAAGTAAAGCATGACATATTGAACAACAGCACCTAAACTCCACACCTCAGAACCAGGATGAGTATACACAGAAAGCCTGCTCACAATTGGGGTTATGCATAGTCTGGGTCTCAAAATGACCACAGGCACTCATCTGATGTGTGTCAGGCACAGGAAATCGGGAACAAAATGGTAAACTTCAGTTATGGACATGACCAGCACCAAGTGTGTAACTGCACTGGGTTTGGGGTGGGGGAAGGGAGAACTATCATCCAAAGTTTATGAAGCAACAACAACAAAAAAAGGGCATTGCAGCTCTAATTACTTAGTATAATTGAATTGTTTACATAGCATCACTTAAATTGTTACAAACAACCACGTTCAAGGATCTGTAAGTAAACTGTGAATGTGAACTCCATGCACGTGTTTTTTCTGTTTGTGTCCTCTTTTATTTGAATTTTTCCCCACATGAAACATGAACGGCCTATGAAGATCTTTAAATCCTTCTTTTTTTTTTAAATTGTAAGCCTTCTTTTTTAACATAAGCCAGTTTATTCAATGTTATTGCTAGTTATTGCTAGCTAGCAGAACAGAAAGTAGGAATAAGAAAATTTTGTCCTTTTGATGCTGAAGGGAGATTTGCTTAACTTCAAAAATGTATAGTTTAAAGACAGAGTATACACAGTAATGGTAATTATAAAACCCAACCCAATCCATGAAGGAGTTTTCAATCACTAGATCAATCTCAGTCCCAAACATCACTATAATGTAATGACAGCTCCCTCAAAATAAGGATGAGGCTCTGCATAGCTTATCATAGGCTGCATACAGGCACAGGCATAGTAATGCACATTAGCTGTCTACTGGAAATTCAAAGCTTTCACTTGCAATTTAGAATGATACTTCAAAACATAACCTCTAAAGCTACTGGGACTAGGCCTGGTCAAAAGAGAAAGCCCATGTTTTAATATCTACTGAATCAAGACACAGACTAGAAAAAGTTATTACAGAGAATTCTTATGAATAGCAGTTTAAATGTTGAGAAACACTAATTATTATAGACCTTTACCATTTTCTGAAACAAGAAACCAATGACACTTATTTTGCATCACTCCACTAATGCCTAAGAAAAAGGCTGTATTTTAGATTAAATCGAATCTATTACTTATTTGACTGGTATTGTGCAGAGATTTAAAAATGTAATATACATCTATTAAGTAAAGGCAGGTATTTTTTTTTTTTTTTTTAGTTATTGTCAGCTAATAATAAAGGGAAACGTGTTTAAAGCAACTTCCAGACATGCCTTTCATAGCATTATTTTCTAAACTCCAAGACAGAGGACGTGTGGCTACAAAAGCTTCACAGGCATTTTCCTGATACAGCATTTCTGCATATTAAGCAGCAGCTTACAAATACTCATTGAGCTCTGTGCTCCCACGCCTGATCCGTACAAAAACCTGAAAAGAGAGATTCAAGACTGGCAGTTGTCCTTTCTAGAGGCATTCAATGATGAATTTATGTCCATTCACTCACAGTATTGACATGAGCTATTAACATCTGTGAAAGTTTTCTGAGCTGACAAACGGGTATACAGGAATTCAAGTAGAAGTCATCTTGTCTTCCAGAGAAGGTGTATATGGTAAAATGCTTGTATGGATTACATATAAAGCGTCATAACTCATACAAAATGACCTCTTTGCCCTTCTGTCTGCTCAGGAGACAGAGACTACCTCTTCTAGTCTTTTGTACTTTTTAGGCTATGATCTCTGTACCTTGCATTTAATTTTCTTTCACAAAGAATACAAATGGTGGGATATTTACACCCAAGTTGTAAATTTACAATGTGTTTGTAGGTGACTGCCAGAAAATTGAGAAAAATAAGTTAGTATGCTCTAAAGCCCAACTTTGCATGTTTTCCATAAACACAAAGTATACATTAATTGTTTTTTCCAAACACTTCAAGAGCTACAGCTAATCAGTTCTGGAAGTCTGATCATTTAAGCAAATATTGAGTTTTTGAAATGCAGGATCTAAAGTCTCCCATCACTTCTAAAGTAAAAAGGATCTTTAAGGGACTTGCTTTTTCTACAGCTTCCTAGTTTATGTTTTTCTAAATGGGCTGCAAAATTGTTACTACTTAGATTGAAATCTGTTTGTTAATAACATAATAAAGAGGAAAACCAGGAAAACTTAGAACATGAAAAAAAAAAAAAGCGTCTTTTTGACTACAATACTTGTTTATACAAAGATGTTTGAATTACCTTCAAATATTGCAACATAGATATCAGAATCAGAAATATTAACCTAATGTTTACGACAGAAATGAGCCATGTTCTTTCAGTAAAACTGGATATATACTATGCAAGTTTAAGATATTAATTTGAAAATATATATAAAAACTATTAAAGTTTTTAAAATAACTCTAAACACCATGAATGTAAAGATACAGGAGACATACCAGTAAAAGTTATTTTATAATCAAGCTTTGCAGCAATCTTTTTTCCCACATTTTTAACACGAAGTATCATTGTGAATATAAAGTTTGACTCAATTCTAAACATAATTACTATACATATTTGGTTATAAGAAAGCGAGCAGCTGTTGAAAGAAAAAAGAGCAAATAAAGGTGGGGGGAATTTAAAAATAGATTCAAAAATTTAAGGATACCATCTAGTCATGAAGGTCATGAAAACTATAGCTATGCATGCTATTTTAACCATGTACCAATAAAGTACATTTATTTCAACACATGCCTCTCATACTACTGTATTTTTTACAAGACTCCAGTAAGAAAACTAGGTCAATTACTTTCAGATAAATATTCCTCTTCATGAGCTAGCGCCTAAGCAGGCATAGTTACCTCATCAACAAGTGAAAGGTATGCAACAGTGTAACTAACTAAACATGTATGTAAAAACCCAAAGTACTGTTCTGAACAGCAAGAGCCCTGCAGCTCAACAGTGACCTGAAAAAGAGCTTCAGATAGTGAACTGGACAGCTACTATAGCTCAAAAGCTGGTGTCACATTTATTTCTTGGTAAATCACCAGCACATGCATCTCCTGGTAAATTTAAGGGTATTTGTTACTCTATTCCTTAAATACTGTAATGATGTTACAGATATAGGATTTCAACAACCTAGCAGTATTATGCAACACAAACTTTGAGTGCTAATATTTGGTACATATTTTTAAGACAATTAGATCTTTGACAGTTAAGAAAAATCACTACTATTAATGAGCTTTTTAGAAAACAAGACTTAGTACAAGTGTGTATTGGCAGTTCAAATGCTACTTTGAAATCATACATAATAACTGAAAGCTCAAAATAATAATGTCTGTACTTTCAAGAAGTAACATTAACTGTACCATAAAATTACCTCGATAATATAAAGGACTATATTCTTGTAGAAACAATACAAGATGCATTTAGCTACTCTGTTATAATTCCAGGCTCCATGAACCAACAACAAGTTCTTCAAATACTTGAACTGCAAAAAATGAAAAATGAACATACAATGAAAATGTGAATACACCAATATTAATCTGATATCAAGCTATGTTACTATAATATACAGAGTAATGACTCACCTGAGCAATTGAGTAGTCTGAAGAATTTGCAGCTTGTAGACCTTCATTCCCACTAATACCAACACCAACGTGTGCTGTTTGTATCATACTAACATCATTTGCTCCATCACCAATTGCTAGAGTTACTACCTTAACTTGTTTTTTAACCATTTCTACAACTTCAGATTTTTGAAGCGGTGATACCCTAAGGGGTAACAAAAAGATAAAACAATACAGAACATTCAAATGAATGTACTTTTAAAACATACTACTTAACCTGTGAAAAGGTAACAAAAGCAAGCCAAATAACATCCTTGTCAGCAGCATGGTATTGCTATTGCCCTTTAGGCTGTATGTTAAAAGCACATTCTCAGCAAAATTCATAGTACATTTGGGTTTGCTGAAGCAAGATGTTAATAGGACTGGAGAGTCATAAGTCAAACAGCAATGGGCCCTTCAAACAGGGGTAATGGAAGGAACCCCAAACACTGCCACTACTAGTATTATAACTGCAGATTTTGGCATATTATATTGTTATGGTTTCTATTTTCCTCTCTGTTTAAACATGTATTTTATAAATAAACAAAAGTTATTTAAGACACAAATGTCAAATCAAACAGGAACAAACAAACAGAGTGGACAGCACTATGTTAACTTAGCCTACACCACTAAATTACAAAAAGCAACTTTGAACATTGACTTTTGATCCTCTACTTCATCTAACAGCTTGTAACTTCTCCCTCATTGTTTTCAGGACTATTTCAATTATCTTTCATTAAGAAAACATCCGTACACAGCTGAAGGGACAAATTATTCCAGGGATGACTCTCAAAAGCTCTATTGATGAAACTGTATCAATTTTGGCTCCATCTACCATTGTGTGTCACATATGTACCTTTCATTTCATGTTGTTAAAGTTCTATTCTGTATGCTGAATTTGAGTCCTTGTAGTATTTGAGATGTCACAACTGCAAATAATATATAGAAATCAAGTGCTAGGACTGGTGTTTTTCACAGGGTAACAAAGCAAAGGAGCAAGCCCTAAGCAGTGTGGCAATCCACTCTTGTGCTTCCTGGCACTGCAGGCAACGTTTAAACCCTGCCCCTCATTTCATGGTACAAACAGAAACAAGAAGAAATGTTAAGAGCTCTGTATGTCTCCCCCACCACTGCTGTTTACAGCTTTCTACAAAGGGAGCAATTCTAGTACCAAGGCATGACTCCTGCTTTGGAGCTGGTGATGTGCAGTTGGTGAACTGTCCTTTCCTCATCTACCTTTGAACTTTCCAGATCAACTCATTCCAGATGCCTCCATGCAAAAACTAGATGTGACAGGAAGCAGAACTTGCCACTGGACAGAACTGACACTAAGATCTGGGGAAAAACATGTATTTCTAATTAATTTCCTACTAGTCTATATGCACACTGATGGCAATGACCTGACTGGTACCGTAAGCTGCTGGAACTTCACAATTTGGGCTCTGAGAGATTCTCCCTGCAGTGACAAAATTTCAAGGTTAAGGCTTATGTAGGGATGTTCATAACCTGACCTAACTTTTCCAGGTCAAAAATTAAAATAACAGAAATATACAAGAAATTAAGAATACAGATTTTTTTGGGACAAATTTGCAAAGGAAAAGCACAAAAGAGCAATTACTTCTAAGTAACGTTCCTTCCTGAACATGCTCTGTATACTGCTACTCACTGGGATATTGGCAAGTAACACAGCCTATAAAGTTCATGGATACAGTTCTTGCCTGAACCATGACTGCTGTATGGCACTCAAGCTCCATAACAAAATGAAATACTACCAGCAGACACCAAAAATTCAGCTATATTATGGCATCTGTGCAGTCCTAAAATTCCTCACAAAAGATCCTGCAAGCTGAAGGTCTCAAAGGCACTATTCTTATAAGCATGTGAATACTGGAAGGTCTCATGATACTTGAGAAAATGGTACTATATTATTAATGAGATCCTGATAGGTGAGTCATAGAGTGGTTTGGGTTGGAATGGATCTAAGTTCCAACTTAGATCCGTTCATCTAGTTCTAACCTTCCTGCCATGGGCAGAGATACCTTCTGCTAGATCACGTTGCTCAAAGCCCTGGCCAGCCTTCCCTTGAACACTACGAGGGATGGGGCATACACAGCTTCCCTGGACAACCTGTTCCAGTGTTTCACCCCAGTCCAGGTAAAGAACTTCATCCTGATGTCTAGTCTAAATCTATCCTTTTTCAGTTAAAAGCTCTTTGTCGTATCCCTACATGTCTGTCGTGGTTTAAGCCCAGGCGGTAACTCAGAACCACACAGCTGCTCACTCACTCCCAGTTCCCCCATTCAACCACCCCATTCCTGGACGGATGGGGAGGAGAATCGAAAGAATGTAACTCCCATGGGTTGAGATAAGAGCAGTCCAGTAACTAAGGTACAACACAAACCACTACTGCTGCCACCAAAAATAGCAATGATAAGGGAAATAACAAGGGAAGAGAATACAACAGCTCACCACACACTGATCGATACCCAGCATGACCTGAGCAGTGATGTCACCTTTCTGGGTAACTGCCCCAGTTTATATACTGGGCATGACATGCTGTGGTATGGAATACTGTCCTGGGTTCAGCAGTAGCAGTCTATTTTTCTCCTGCTTGAAAGCTGGTGCAGTGCTGTGTTTTGACTTTCAGCCTGGGAACAGTGCTGATAATACCGATGTTTTCAGTTGTTGCTAAGGAATGTTTACCCTGACCAAGGACTTTGTGAGGCTTATGCTCTGGCAGGGAGGAGGGGAAGCCAGGAGGAAGCAGAGACAGGACACCTGACACAAGCTAGCCAAAGAGGTATTCCATACCACAGCATGTCATGCCCGGGAGAGGGCAATTGGGTGTCGTGGTTTAAACCCAGTCAGGCAACTTGTTCACTCACTCCCAGTGAGTGGTGCCGAGCTGACAACAATCGAGGGCCGTGCCACCCCCCCCCCCCCCCCCGGGGCTCTCCCCTTCCCCGCTCCCGGAGGAACGGGGAGGAGGATGGAAAGAGTGCAACTCCTACGGGTTGAGACAAGAACAGTCCAGCAACCAATGTACACAAATCACCACCGCTACTATCAACTACAACAATGATAAGGGAAAATAACAAGGGAAGAGAATACGATACCACTGGCCAAGAAACGAGTCCCACCCGGAAGCCTGTGTCCTTCCGGGTAACTCCCAGTTACCCCTCACCCCCGGCATGACGTGCTGTGGTATGGAATAACCTCCCTGGCTAGCCCGGGTCAGGCGCCCCATCGCTGCTTCCTCACGGCTTCCCCTCCTCCCTGGCAGAGCATGAGCCTCACAAAGTCCTTGGTCAGGGTAAACATCACTTAGCAACAACTGAAAACATCGGCTTCACCAACACTGTTCCCAGGCTGGAAGTCAAAACACAGCACTGCACCAGCTACCACAAAGGAAAAACATGACTGCTACTGCTGAACCCAGGACACTGGGCGTTCCCTGGAAGGACATGGGGTCTTCTGGGTTGGACTCGTTTCTCGGCGGGTGGTATTGTATTCTCTTCCCTTGTTATTTTCTCTTATCGTTGTTGTTGTTGGTAGCCGTGGTTGTGATTTGTGTTGTACATTGGTTGCTGGACTGTTCTTGTCTCAAGCCGTGGGAGTTGCACTCTTTCGATTCACCTCCCCATCCCTATGGGAGCGGGGAAGGGGAGAGCCCCATGGGGAGGGGGTGGGGGGGTGTGCTGGACGCAGGCCTCGATTGCTTCCAGCCTGGCACCACTCACTGGGAGTGAGTGAACAAGCTGTCTGGCTAGGTTTAAACTTAAACCACGTTTGGGTCAGGTGTCCTGTCTCTGCTTCCTCCCGGCTTCCCCTCCTCCCTGGCAGGGCATGAGCCTCACAAAGTCCTTGGTCAGGGTAAACATTACTTAGCAACAACTAAAAACATCAGTGTTATCAGTGTTGTTCCAAGGCTGAAAGTCAAAAACACAGCACTGCACCAGCTACTAAGGAGAAAAATGACTGCTACTGCTGAACCCAGGACAATATCCTCACGAGAAGCCTCTCCCTTTAGAGTCTGAAGAATTATAGGGCAAAAAAATCTACCAAATCTCGTAAGTGAATGTAGCAAAAAAACCCCTTTTTTTTATACTGATCTATTGTAAGATTACAAACCCAGTGCTAATGAGGGCAATAATAAAAGCAAATCACCTACAGAAGAAACAAAATCATTCCAATGATATACATTAGTAAAATTATTTTTCAGAACATAGTATAATAAAATGTAACAAAAGCCAAATGTATACTGGGCTGCATCAAAAGGAGCGTGACCAGCAGGTCAAAGGAGGTGATCCTGCCCCTCTAGTCTGCTCTTGTGAGACCTTACTTAGTGTATTATGTACAGTTCTGGTGTCCTCAAAGTAAGAAGGACATGGAACTGTTGGAACAAGTCCAGAGGAGGGCCACGAGGATGATCAGGGGACTGGAGCACCTCCCGTATGAAGACAGGCTGAGAAAGCTGGGGCTGTTCAGCCTGGAGAAGAGAAGGCTGCGTGGAGACCTCATAGCAGCCTTCCAGTATCTGAAGGGGGTCTATAGGGATGCTGGGCAGAGTTTCTTCATTAGGGACTAGAGTGACATGACAAGGGGTAACGAGTTAAACAGGGGAAGTTTAGATTGGATAAAAGAAGGAAGTTCTTTACTGTAAGGGTGGTGAGGCATTGGAATAGGTTGCACAAAGAAGTGACAAATGTTCCATCCCTGCCAGCGCTCAAGGCTGGGCTGGAGAGAGCCTTGGGTGACATGGTGTGATGTGTCCCTGGCCATGGCAGGGCGGTTGGAACTTGATGATCTTAAGGTTCTTTCCAACCCTAACTATATGATTCTATGGGTACTGTCTGCCCAGTGACCTTTGGCATTAAAGCCAAGCCTGAATGATTTGCCTGTCTTGACACTGGACAGATTGACACTATAGGTTAAAATGGATATTGCTTTCTATTTGGATCAAACTTTTGATCCATAACAGGATTTGAGAGGAAATGTTTCCTTTTCCAACTGGTGGTATAAATTCCCTCATCACACTTCTTCCTGAACTGCTTCCAAAAAAACAGAAACAGAACAACCCACCCATCTCTTTCAAAGCAATGAATTACACACTACATTATCCACATTTAACGGTAAGTTTTTACAGTTAAAGTACACTGAAACACCGATTATGTTCTTTTCATTAAGCACACAGATACTAATGGCAATACTTGGCCATTGCTTTTTCTAGCTATCTGTAAACCCAAACATACAACCAACAAGCAATTACACGATTGCTGTAGCTAATGGCATTGCCATCAGCCTTCTATTCTGCTTGAATAAGAATGCAATTAGAAGACAACTTTTAAAAACAACAACAAAAGAAAAAAATGCCCCCAAAACAAAACAGAGAGATAGCATAAAAAAAATTCCAATGTTCACATGACAGACAAATTATAGACTTAAGGAAACCAAACTTGTTCTTAGAATTGACAGCTGAGGCTGGTGACTGATTTCATGGTGTTAATTGAAAAAGTAAATGCAGCAGAGGGGTGAAAAAGTTCAGAAAAAATCCTAACTCTCTGACATCACACTGATGATATTATGCATTATCCATTTAATTTATTAACAAATCCAAACTAGAAAAAATTGAAACAGTCTTTCAGAAATTTTTATGAAAATGTCATTTAGAAATGCAAATTTCACCAAAGCTACATTAACTTCCTATTATAAAAAAGCCCTTTCCCACTAAAATAAAGGCTATTTAAGCTTTTAGCCAGCTAAAGTTTACGATGATTATTCTGAAACATACCTTAAAACTGTAGGAAAAAACAAAGGTTTTCTAGACATGCATTTTAAGTTCTGAAACATGCATTTATTCTTGTAACATCCTTGAAGAATTAAGTTTTGCCTAAACCAGTAAATTACAGTAACCATTACAGTTCTTACTAGTTAGAACATTTCTGAAACTCAAGACTACTTAAATACTGAGAGTATGCCAAACATTTCCTGGTGGAGGAAGTCAACTTACAAGCATATTAGAGAGCTGGTTTAAATCTAATTTTAAACAGAAATGATTAAGAAAAAAACAAATAAATTGAGTGATCATTATCTGCCTTCTTGTGTAATTTTATGCATTTTTACTTCTGAAATTAAAGCACACTATTTTTTTCCATAAAAACCCATTCGTTAATATCACATTTGAAGCATATTTGCTACATTATTATTTGTTTCAACCACAATCCCCCCTTGTTTCTTGTAGAACAAGATCTTATGGATGCATTATAATCACACAACTTCATTACACACCATATTTTCAATGGTATCAGTTTATGAATTCAGTCCTTATCACCAAGGTACTCTTTTCACTATGGAACAGACTGATACTCGATTCAATTTCAGTGTCACAGAAGAAATATGAAGGAATAGTATAAGTCTCATAGCTCATTGGGAAAAGAAAAAATATTTCCCATTTTTGTCTAGCAAATGTCACTATTTTTTCATTTTACCAACTCTATAAAGTTTCAATGAGTAGATTAAACCTCAACATTAGACAGATGACTGAGCTGCCAGCAAAGCAGGACACTAATGATGGTTGCCTCTCTTTCCTAGACCGTTGTGCTTAACATTGAGACAGTGCTGTGAAAGGAAACAAGGCACGTGGTATCTACGCTCATCTTTGCTCACATACAATACTCTAATTACCACTGGCTTCCAGGAACATCCTTGTAGCCCTTTCCATTCTCCTCTCCATTTGCCAGAGAACACCTTCTCATGGTTCACCTTTGGGTGATGCTCCACCAGTGGAATGAAATCTCCAATCCTACCCTGTGCCAATTAAGTTAAATTTCTTATGCTTTAAGTGCAATTAATCTGAGAAAATGGTTGCATAAAATTTAACTGCATGATTTTTCAAAAGCAAGAAATAAAGGAGTGAAAAATAATACAGCCTTTGGACTGAAGGTAGCTATTTAATTATTTTATTCAGCCTACAGAACATATGCTAGCTATCGGACTTTTGAAAAAGGTACCTGGGATGTGTACAGCCTTGTGATGAACCTGGGATGAAAGCTTCCGGGCAACAGTCCTTCAAAAAAAAATTCTGTGGTCCAAGTATATCAAAAAGTGTTCCTATGATCTTTTGTTACACGTTTTATTTGAACTGTGCTGATGAGTGTTGCATCAAGATTCACTATAGACGGCTTCTATAAAAGACTCCTGACCTGAGAACTTCTTTTTCATCTTTTTAACTTTCCAGGAATGGTGGCTTATTTTGCTTTCAGACAAGCTTACAGGGGCAGCAGGAAGGTGCATTTCCTCTCATTACCTGGTGCATCAATTTCATGGTGAAAATAATAAATAACTTTTGTTCATTTTGTTCACTCTTAGCTGTACATTTTTACAGAATACTGAATAATCCATTTAATGTTTTTCTCACACATACTGCTCTGAAGCCAATACAGAGTTGGAATTCAGTTTGTCAAAGTCTTTAAGCCAAACATCTGCTTGGAATTAACAACATAGAGATTTTTTTGAAGTGAAATATCTACTGAGTATTTGTCATCTTCATCTGTGTTATGGATAGTCTTAGGAAGAATCCACTGATAATAGAAACTTCAAAGAACGTGATATAATTTGTACTTTTAAAACCAAGGAGTGCTTAAAAGTTTACTGCCTTTATATGGGTGCAAAAAAGGACTAAATTTTCATTTAATCACGACAATATATATTTAAATTACTTACCTTAATTAAAAATTGACATTTTTAACTTTTTATTTTCACATTCACAAACAAGGAAATTAAATTTTTGCTACTAAAGACGGAACATTAACAGAAATTACTATTTTGACAGAATTTTTACTTTTGACAAGAATAATAGCTCACTAACCAATGAATGTTACAAACAAATATTTTAGTTTCAAACCTGCAGCCAATTTTCATACAACCACAAAATATGTCAGAGCATATACCTAGACACGTATTGAAACCAGCTGACCCAAGAATAGTACGGAAACGCAGAAATAACAGAGAGAATGCTACTAGAACAGAAAATTTAATTTTGCACTTTTTGTTGTTACATCATAAAAATGCTACCACTAACAGCTACATGTACAGAATAACCTTCAATGGTTCTATGGGTCAAAAGAAATGGCAATATTGTCTCTTCAAATGGCATAAAATGTATTTTCAAATCAAGGAAAAAGAAGTAGCATAGATGAATCTGCTTTATCTTAATTATTAAGAACATTATTAAACCCTTTACCTGAACACAAGAACCCTGAAATTATTTATCTTATTACTGAAAAGCAGATAATCTATTAAGGTGTATTTACAATAGTTTTCACATTTGTACAGACCATGTCTCTACCTTCAGGCAGATAACAGGATAGGCAATAATGAGGTAGTAGGAAGTAAGCTTATATCATTTATTGAAAGAAGATTTCAATAAGAAGTGATGCTTGCTTCTGCTTTTTGATAGACTGCTTGGCCTAAACCAAGTTTTTAAACATTGACAGAAGCAGTTCTTGTGTATCTAGTTATGAAGCACACAAATTCCTTTTTCATTCAATCATTCAAATGTAGAAAAGGTGCTCAGGAGATATTTGCCATTTTCGTGTTTAAAGACAAAAACACCAGAAGGTCCCAAAACACATAAACTAGCACTTATGCAGTCCTACGTATTTCTCCCTTAATGTAAATCTAGAAATATTAAAAGGCATGCCAAACTGCTTTCATATTGTGTATACTTAAAAAAAGCAGATATTTAATTTTCTTTTATCTGGACAAAGTTCCCATGTTACAGGGAGCTTAGAGCTTTAATAGCTGATGTTTACAGGAAAGGATGAAAGGTCTGATTGCGTAAAAGAACCCCTAAACAATCAGAATAATAATAACAACAACAAAAAAAGGTGTTTTAATCAGTTTCAGAAAATAAAAACCACCTGGAGTAGTACCTTTAACATTTTTGTTCACTTATGCAGTGTAATCCATAGCTTTCAGAAAAGTGGAGATATAAAATCCTGCCTGCAGAGGAAGCTCTACAAAAATCCCAGATGTGATAAAACCTGCAGTTAACTGTAGTATCAATTTAAAGGATAAGATTAGTGTCTCAATCTCACTGAGACTACCCTTGACAGATAACGAATTATTTTTCTGGGTATATGCAATCTGAATGACTCTGACAGGTACACTATGTTGCAGACTGCTTTACAAAAACATTTTGCTTGAATGACTATATCTCGTAACTTCAGCTACTGAAGTTTGTGGTTTTTTTAATATTTCATGGTTGTAAGACATAGATAATGTGTATTTTCTCTGAAACGGAAGTTTCTTAATTTTTATATGCCAATAAAACTACTGCAGAGAAAGAATAATGTAAGCCTTACCTGCAACAAATAACAGCTTTACAAGACAAAGCCAAATCCAGGAAATACTGTCTCACTCCAAATGTCAGAGCATACTTCAGAGATTTACCATCAATGATGAGAGCAAAATCATTTTCCTTCCTTAAAGTATCACCAAGAGTACTGCAGTGATGGCTAAGTGTCTCTCTTGTTCCCTGTTGCACAAAAAAAGTTGTGTCCATTATTTTTACTGCTCTTAAGTCCAACTTATAATTTTTTTTGTGTGATCAGAAACACTGGCATTTTCTGAGGAATTTCCTTTTTGATTAGGCTATCAAATAGACAGTATTAAATGAAAAAAGTCTTTGCAACAGCTGCACTATTAGAAACCACAGTAGAAACAGGGTGTAGGACTGCTCTCACACTGCCAAAAAATAATGTGTGTATAGATTATGGTGGAACTTCTCATGCTCTTTGAATGGCAACAATAGTTGCATAAATGTTTGCTAAAAATAATGTGTCCTATACACCTATTCAAAGGAAGATTCATATATTATACGTATCAGATGAAACAATTTGTGTTCACTTTTACATAAAAGGGTCTTAAATGTTTAGAAAAAAAGGAAGAGAAACCGAGATAATTCATAATGTAACTACAGGTATTATAATTGATAACTATATCACATTGAATTTATATTTTATGATAAGCCCATATCAACTAAATTTTATATAAGGGATCATATTTTTGATTTTTCAGTTGCTAAGGACAGTTTGAATCATAGCTACACATCACTAATCTGTGATGCAGAACTGAGAACTTTGGATTATATTCAGTAGATAATACATTCAACTGTAGGTCGAATTTGGAGAGATCGCTAATACCTACTTAATTACAGCTCTACCATAGAGTGCCATGAAGAAGGAAAAAAATGCTTGTTGCGTTTCCTTCTTTTTGAATGGTCTTCATAGATCTACAACATACTCTTCTGCTGTTTCCTGCTTCACTCAGCCCAGAAGAAAGAAACATTTTAGAGAAGAAAGGAAGATAGAAAAAAACTGCTTCTGCTTACAAAATACTGAACTTGGAAACCAGTAACATCTTATGACATCAATGTTCCTATTCTGCTGAGGGAACTGGGCTGTCCAGAAGCCCTCATAGGAGCACAGCACATTTATTTAAAAAAAAAAAAAATTGTTTAATATCTATTTATTCAACTTTTAATTATCACACCAGAAGTAGTTAATGTGCAACACTTGTTTAATGAGTTTTTATTGTACTTTTAGTAGTTAAATAAAACTACCTCACTTCACTTCATTACATATGAAGAAGTATACAAAATAATCAATCCTTGTCACTTCAGCTCTACTAAGTATTGCAGTAGTTCTGAAATCCAGAAGTCTCTGTAAATGACCTCAATATAGATCAGAAATAGTAGTAAAGAAATAATGTAGAAATTCTATAGAAAGCAGTAAGTATTTTAATTCTTGTTGTAGCCTACTCTTATGTGCTACCATGGAATCCTTCAGTTAAGGCACTCTTCCCATACTTTCTTTCCACTTTCTCTCCTTAAGTCCTATCTTGAGCAACCTGACCACAATATAGAGTAAAGGTAAACTTCATTTCAAGTTTTCCTCCTGAAGACTTCTGGTCAGTACGTTTTCCAATGGAGGAATTTCCTCCACTTTTAAGTTCATTTAAGGCTCCCTTAGAAAGGGTGGTAAAATGATTTCTTTTCCCTCATGGGATTTTTCACTTAATATTGCATTCCTACTTTACCTAAAGAATCTCTTCTCTACAAAGCAGTATATTTGAAAGTTTGTAGTTTTAACCCTTACTTGTATTTCAAAATCTGATTATAATTTCAGCTGTTTAACCACACAATTACAATTAACTTCTGTCAGATGGTAAGTATTCCATAAGGAACAGCATTAGCAAGGAACTTCAGTTAGCTTGTTTGGGTACTGCTAGGTACTACTAGAAGCATGTGAAGCTCCTGACTTTATGCCTGTATGGATGGAGTTATTTCATTATGTGGAATTGTTTGCTTATCATTCTGAAGTTCATTTGTGTAGTAGCCACACTGTAGTTCTGGAAGGTGTAGATAAGTTTCTATTAAGTAACATTTTGTCACAAAGACCATACAGTCTTTCAAGTATGCAATAATAAAATTAACTCAAATTTTCTCAAATCAAACAAAAAAAGCAACCTCCCAAACCAAAGAAACAGAAACACCCCGCCCAACTGTGGTTTTAGCAGAATTTTCAGCGTTTGTCCAGATGAAGTTATTTTTCAGGCTACCTCCACCATGATATCTGGATGTTTTAAGCGGTAACATTAAGTGGTTTCATTAACTGAAAACTGAGATTTTACTTACATCAAGAGAGCCTTCATTTATAACAATCAGCCCCATGTTCTTTCTCAGAAGTTTACAAGAGTGACCTGTCAAAAACATTTTTGTTTTCAAAAATTTGTTCCACAAAATCCATTATAACATAACAAAGCATTTTTTCCTGTAAGAGAACTACAGACAGAATTAAAAATAAGATTTCCACAATTGAAATCAGTGGTAAAAAATTACACTGCATACTATAAAAATTAGACACAGGTACTAAGTCAGAACAGCGTATCTTCCTTTCTGCAACTTGTGAGTTGTGCCTTACTCAGTGGTGCTCAGCAGAAGGACAAGAAACATCTTGACACAGAGTTACAGAAAAGAGCAAACAGATCTTCTTTAGCCTTGCAAAATTTTGGAATGCAACTTTCATTTCATACATAATTTGCATATATACACATTCCCATTCTTTTCTTATGTTCTTTGATGTTTTAAACATAATGTACACTGTATGCTAATGATGCAGGCTGCCTAGATAAATATGTATCACCATTCTTATCAAAATGAAAATACTGGTATTACATGTATTGCCTCAGACCTGGAGGTACTAATGAAAATAACCTTAGACCAAATGTATCATGTGCATACAAAAAGTTCTCTAATAGTAGTAATAAAAAGAAATAATACTTTATTTTAGGCACATTATGTAGGTTACTGCAGAAGGGCTGATATGCCCACATGCAAAGAATATTAAATCTTAAATGCAGCTTTCATGTATTACTATTTAAAAACACAGGTTTATTGCTGCTGAAATTAGTTAATGTGTGAGGGTTTTGTGGTTTTTTTTCCCCTCCTTTAAACAATAAAAGGAAACGTCTGATGGATGGTAAGAAGTTTATAGCACTTTAAAGTACAATCCATATTGTTTTGCTTCAGTTAAGATCATGGTCTCTACCAGCTTTCTTGGATAGACGAAAAAATACAGAATGGAAAATAAAAATACTTATATTTTCTTTTTATTATTCTTGCTGTCAAAACACAAACGACGTATTCAATTCATTGTAGATGCTACAAAAAAAAGTACAAATGTCTATTTTTTTCTCCTCTCTATGATAATATGACTTTTTCTTAGGAAGAACCCAACAGTCCCTTTTATCCACCTACCAGCGACTGAAAACCAAGTTAACATTTAAATTCTGGAATGCCATATTATTTTTACAAGATACATTTCTGTTCTGGAGCAATTTTATTCTAGCAACTTCTATAATTTGTAAATCTGTAACAAAGCCATCAAACAAATGCAAACATGATACCGATGTTAATGGCAGTCTCTTGTTTGTCCCCAGTAAGTATCCAAATTTTTATGTCTGCTTTCATGAGAGTCTCTATGGTTTCAGGCACTTTGTCTTGCAGTTTATCTTCAATTGCTGTTGCTCCAAGCAGCTGAAGATTCTGTGAACATACAATATTCAGTATACACAGGTTTTTTTTGATTTAAATTAAGTTTTAATATTCTTAAATTTCCTTTGTTTAACTTTACATATTTATGACTTGATTAATGCTCTCTAAATTCATTAATCAGATCTGGTATCAGCTAATAAAGATCCTCCAGTTTATTCCTATGAGCTTTAAGATAAATAACTATGTGGGCTTGCAAACTGCACAGTGAGACCATCCAAACTTCACCCATTATTCACAATCTCAGTGTTTGTTCAGCAACAGCTACCTTTTCCTGAGAGGTACCTCTCTGATTTGAAGACTTCAGGAGTTCTATTATGTCTTCTACCACTTGTAGTGATTTCCCCCGCAAGTGAAGGAAAACCCACCTGTGAATTCATCTTAATCTTAAAACTATAATCTTGATTATGTTGTTTTAAACTTCTCATGCAGCAGATCTATATGTTTTTTGTGAATATGTATGCTTGGCTACTCCAGCAGCGGCACTGCCAGAAACTCAAGGTAAAGTGATTATGGCTCTGCTCTTGTGAAGATGCATCTGGATATTATCTCCCTTTCTGGGCCTTCAGTACAGGAGTGGTTGACAAAGTGGAGTAAGTCCAGCAGAGGGACACAAAAATAGCTTGGGAACTGGAGCATTCTTGGGAGTGTCTGAAGAAGCAGGACGAGATTAAGATGGGGAAAATATAAAGCTAAGGGAAGAATTCCATGGCTGCCTTCTGCTAACTGAAGAGGGCTTGCAGAGAAGCCATCTTCCTCTAAGAGGTGCATGGTGAAAGGGCAAGAGGCAACAGTCCCATTCTGCAGTAACAGAAATTATAATTCAGAAAAAAAGAAGAGTTGAGCATGAAAATAACCAAATAATTGCTTACTGCAGCTGGGAAAACTCTCTCCTTGCAGAACCTCAAAACTTCATTGAAGTGCTGGTCAAACAAAATCAGCCCTGCTTTGAAGGATTTATGTCTACATGACCTCCCTAAGTCCTTCCAACCTTAACTACTCTATGTCTCTAAGCTAATCATAAAATAAAGCAGATGTTGCTTGCCTGTTGTTACACTTTTTTATACAATTGAGCAACTCTGAAAAAAGCTTTCCAGTAGTTCAACTCAAAATCATCACTTTCTGGGAAGAAAACTACTTGTTGCAAGCACTTTGTCAAATTAATCTTTCCTTCACTTTGACCATTTAATCTGCAGGGACTACATGACAGAGCTTCAGGATACTGCCAGATTTTTTTTCTGCTTAAGCATTAGTCCTCTGTAATGATTCACATTTCATGGTGTAGAAAGCAAGGACATTAATTAAAAAAAACCACTCTCCTCATGTGCCCCATCCTCTTCCCCCCCCCCTCTCAACCCAAGCCAACTAACATCCCCAGAAAGCTACACATACTTTTTCAATTAGTTCGTAGCTCTCCTCAAGTTTAAGTGCTCTGTTTTGTAAAGCTGTAGAAGCACGGTGATAGACATCTAACCACTCTTGATAATCACTTTCTGAAATCTCAGCCACAGCAAAACACAGAGTTCTTAAACCTAAAGAGAGAGCAGACAGTAAGTATGATTCAGTAGTTGTTAGTCCCTTCCCTGATATGCCTGCAATGAGTAACTACCAAAAGATGAATTTATTCTGTATTCTGTGTATGCTTATGCCTGATTTTCAACTTACTGCTGCATATTGAAGAACTTTCAAATATGTATACGGTAAACCAACATGACATAAATTTATCCAACAGAGTAACTGTTTTAAGGTAGCTGAATGCAATACAGGTGATGTACTTCAATGGAAAAAAAAAAAAATTCACACAAGTTTGATTTATCTTAAATTGTAAACAAAATATGAAGCAATCCCAAATGACACTTCCTGAATAAATATATATATATTAGATTTTTAGGAACATTAAAACTTTAAGATTAAATTATATTTCTGACAAAAAGAAATTATAAACTTAAATGTTGCTACACTGGAAAGCAGTATAACAGCATCATGTTACAACTACCCCTTTTCCAACCCTGTTCAATGTCCTCATGAAATTCTTGGCTGAAGTTTAAAATTCACTGTCTAGAAGCTGACCTTGAGTCTGCTCAGATTTAATTTTCCATCTCACAGATTCTTTCAGTTTCCCAAATTCTTAAAATAAAATCTTTTTGTACAGCAACATTTGTAGATTTTACCTAACAATCTTTGAGCTGCTTCTATTTCACAGGTTTTTTTCCTACAGCAGAAATCTGAATTAAGCACTACAGTGAGAATTTGAGGCTGCAAAATCATAAGAGATCTATTTTTTGACAACACACATTTACATTCAATTTAAGTATCCAGGTGTGAATGTTCTAACAGTTCATTTTCACCTATTACAGATTCTTATATTTCTAGAGCATGAAATTATTATAACTCTTTATATACAGAGAAGAGCAGTGCTCTAGCCAAATGATGTCTTATGAAGGCACAATTTTCAGGCATGTAGATTAAGGAGGGGGCTAAGCGGGACTTAGTGCCTTTGTTCATTTGCCCACTCTGCTCCAGGAGATGAACAAGCACCATAACCAAGGATGGCTAAATGCAATCTTTACTTGTTCATAGTTTTTTGTGTGTATAGTTCAACATCATCAGCAATTCTGAAGTGATCAAGAGGTGGGCATGAAATAATACATACGTGTCTCAGATTTAAGACAGTAATTTAGTATCTTCAGCATGAAAACCATGTGCAAACCTAATATCTTGACAGCTCAACAGTATTAGAAACACAGGTTCTCGCCATCCATACCTAGAGAGCAAACTTAAGACAGACAAACTGATTTTTTTTTTCCTCTGTGTAATAAGCATATACTAGCAGGGTCCAAAACAACGAATATGAGGTGAAGGGGTGGAAAGGAATTTATGCCTAATAGTAATACTATTTCCACAGTTCTTTCAAAATAGTCTATGCAGACGATAAAATGAAGAAATCAGTGTGTACCACCTCCCAGCAAACAAGCTTTTCAAGTAATTTTTCTTTTTAAAATCAGAGACTAATTTTTTTTTATTTTTTATTTTAAAAAAGATTCTTTTCATTGTGATTCAAAAGAATCTTCCAAATGAAAAGTGGAAAACAAAGTATCATTAAGTCTGCTTCTTAACAGACTGGAACAGCATAGGAAAATTACACACTTTTCCTATTTATCCAAGCAGACATTAACACTCGAGTTTAATAAATGCTTAAATGCTAATGCCAGCCATGCTAACCACTTCATTTTTGAACAACACACCAAGAGCATGCAGTAAATGCCAAGGACATACTGTACTGCCACATGAAAGGATACTCATGAGAAACTTTGCAACGTCATTGGCTGCAATTTAAATCTCATGCAAAAATAAATACTGATTTCCTTAATCGATTCCAGAGAGAAAGACATACTGATTTTTTTTTTTAAGACTGAATCTTATGCTTTTGAAAGGTTAGAAATTCACTCTCTGAACAGTAAATCTTTTCATCTGTTGAAAATAAGGATACATGAAGTACTTGAACAAACTTAACACTAATACTTATATACAGTGGTTTTAAAGATGGGTGGAATTTTTCATGTTTTATGTTGATTCACTTGGACCACCCTGACTGCTAAGGAAAAAAAATGATATCAGCTGTACCACTGATTTAATGAGAACAGTAATTAAGAATTGGATTGAAATTTTCGTATCAATTCACACAGGTAGCAGATACTGACCTATTTTTACCTTTTCTGTAACCCAGTACATAGTCTTATGGACCAAACTATCTTCACATTTAAGTACTTTTCCTTGACTGATCCTGATTTGACCTTTATAAAACCTCAAACTGGCCAATCAACTCATACAACTAGATTCAGGAGCTCAAAGGGTGTATCTGAAGTTTTATGTTGCATCATCAATCTTCTCTGGTTTTAGTTCCGCTTTAGACTTCATTGTATAATTTATTGTAACTTTGATACGCCAAGCTTATTTAAGGCTAACTGAACGTTCCCTGCAGAGATCTTGATATGGAAAACTAACAAAAGAAACAAAAGATGGCTTGCTCCTGCTGTCCTTACCACAATCAAGAGACTTAAAGTGCTGACCATGACACTAATAAAAATGCTGAATTCCATTATAAACCAAAAGAGAAAAATTAGAGAAGTTGTATGTATGACAGACAGGAAAAGGATCTTTCCTGATACAAGAAGATTTGGCCAAACATCAGTCATCAAAAGGCAAGGATTGTATTTTAGAAAGAAAAGATTTTAATAAAGTTTGATTTCCAGTGTAAGCTTATTTAAAAAAAAAAAAAGGTAAAATATTGCAGTTCAGAGTCCCACAGCTGTTATAATTCTGATTCCAACTGCCCTCTCCAAACTCATGAACAAATTAAACACGATGATACTTCACAAAGCAACTCTATAATCCTTTACTAAGACATCAGAAAGGGGCATGGCATTGAAGATCTAGGAACTGTGCTAGAAATACCTGGATGAAAACAGAAACATTTTCTACAGTCTGCTTTTGTAATCATCCAGTATGATTAAATAACTCGCTGCTTACATCAATCATCTTCATTTTGCAGTCTTTTAAATTTTTGTTACTATTTCTATTTCTTGAACCCTCATGAAGAAGTTCCCCACCATCAGCAGCTGCTTTGTAAGAGTGATTGTTAAAACAGCAGAGACACCAAAACAAACTGTATGGAACATTAGTGCTGGCAATTTCCTTTATTGTCATTGGTGACAGAAGTAATATAGCATAAAGCTACCTTAAAAGCACCATGCTAGTAATTTTTTTACGCATCTTCACTTTGGCTGCTTTTTCCTGTGTGCCTTCTGTACAGCATTCATTTGGTGTGGGACGTGAAAGTGATTGTAGGAAATGAGATTTTCACAGAAACAAACAATATGCAATGTGTTTGCTCTCTGGAAAAATATATTTTGTTTAAAAGACTCCATTGTAGTATGTGGGTGATTTTTTTGTTTTTTTTTAAAGCATGACCTTATTACTGAAATTTCTCAGTAAGATTTTTTTAGAAGGCATCACTAAAACATAATTTTCAAACTTAATGTGAATAAAACATTACAGCAACATAAAAGTGACAAAACTGAAAAGTTGAGGGGTAACTGAATTTCATGTTTAGTTTCATATTGAATAATATTACCCACCTTCCGTAGCAAACTGCTCTAGATGTTTTAAGGTGATTTCTTTGTATTTTGAACTTTCAGCAAGACGGTCATAAATTACAGTATCCTACAGAACACATAAAATGAACTCAGAACAGTTGAATAGGAAAAAAAGATAGCTTTTGGCGTAGGCAATACAAATCACATAGCAAAAAGAAATAAAAATATGCAAAACTGTGTTAATTTATTTCAGCATCAAAACTGAACAGAAGCAATTTTATCTCAGAGGATGGAAAAAAGGACATTCCAAATCCTTAGGATGATCTCAATTTACAAATTCTGCTATGATACAGTTTTTCTATCCTACATTTTTTGCTGTTATTTCCCTTCATTTTGAAAAGCACTGCTTCTTCCTTTGGCTTGCCATGTGAATTCTTTTGATCTCCTAAAATTCTGGTCTTCCTCCTTTTTAATACTAAGCCTACAAGGTAAAATTAGTGATTCAAAACTGCCATTCTCAGTTTTTTGTAGCTAGCTTGATATACAGAATATTAACAGTAGCTTCTTTCCATTTGAGAAGATACAGAATAGACATTTATATTCCATCAATTTATTTTTTTAAAGCCATTTAGCAATTGGATTTTCATTCCCCTCCTCCAAAACTGACTTAAGATACAGAACAAGAACTAATGAGCAATTTTGCCATTCCCAAATACATTATGATTAAGATATCTTCCCATAAATCCCATTTTTAGGAAAATTTACCTCTGGCATAATATCAATGGTAGGTTAAAATTTCATTTAGTACCTTATGCTAGATTACCATTTCTATCTAGTGATTCATGCTCAGCTACTCCAGCAAGTAACTAATAGATTAAACCATACAGTCATCCATTTCCTTGGAGTACAGAAGGAAAGAGTTAATAGGAAGCATGAAGTTATTAGTCCGGAACAAAGAATATGATGAACAAAGGTCTGTCATACTTTTATAGGCAGTTAGTAAAAAAGACATTAACTAGTCCATCACATTAAACAGCTACATAGTAAAATGATGTAAACTGAAAAAGACATCAACCTTCCTTCTGCCATGTTTTCAATATTTAAACTGCAGTTAAAACAACTTTTTGCTTTCATATTGTATTTGTTGCACATGTTGACACAGGGAAAACAGAATGAAACTCACAGCTCCTTTGCAGTAAAGTCTTAACTTTCCCGATGGTGTGCGAACAATCACTGACATTCTCTTCCTTGTGCTGAAAGAGAAATAAATGCCCTACATAAGGTGGCTTATAAATATAAATATTTACCAACATTTAACCTAAGAATATCAATCTTATATATGACAAAGAAAAAGAAGTAAGGGCTATCTGTTATGAATTATGTTGTCAGGTGACTGGGCTGAAAAAACAGTTTTATTGTCTAATAATTAGAGCGAAAGATGTTTTTCTGTGTATAATTCTGTAGGCCCATAAGTATGGGGAACAGCAAAGGTTCTGAACAATTCCTTGAGCTTATGGTACCACAGCAGTGGTGGCATCTGAGCAGAGTATATGCTGGAGGCAGTCTAAACTCAGCGCAAGTTATCAAAACACTATTTGGTCCACAGAGATTAGTACTATATTTAGGAATATTTTTCAGCTGGTTAAGGATTATCAGTTGCTTTCAGTATGCTGACCTGCCAGTTAGAGTGAGAGCTACTTCCTTGCTATGAAAAAAGTGTAATTAGCATATTGTATGTCTACTACTTCTCTTTCCACAGCCACAGCTATAATCACTGTAAAAGAGAATACCATAAAGGACGACTGTACCAAGAATTCCTAGAAGTTTTACTTCTGTAACGTACTTCTCTGAAAACTATCCTATCAAATGTTGACAATGCTGTACTCTGCTTGCAGAAGAGTCTTATGTGGCTTGTATTGGTAGGTGGCAAGGAATCAGTTTGCATTTTTTTCTGGGAAAAACTCGGAACACCTGGAAACACTTAATTCAATAGTTTAATCGCTACAGATTACTTCTCTGAAAGTACACGCTCCTACCCATAGACATAGTGCTATATTTTGAAACCGAAACTTCTCTTGCTGTGGAACAAGGGTGACCTCTAGTGCCTCTAACAAGTCAGTTCCAAGCAAAGTTAAGTAGAGTAAGAACAAAACCAGCTATAAAACTGAAAGCTTAATAAAGTTGGGTAATTGGTATCCACCAAAAAACTTAATCCTCCAAAGGTTAGGATTTAAAAGCAATTCTTCTTTCTTCATAAAGCACCACTGCTTAAATGACAATTTTAGACTGACACAGAAATTTAAAGAGATCTATGAAATCAAGACAAAGCTCAAAACCAGAAACAAAGGAATCCTTCACTACTACTCCATGAATGCAGTATGTCAAACATACTTTCACGTATGTCAAACTAACAATAAATGCACTTTGTGCTACATATTTGCTAACTTTCCAGAATAGAAAGTGAAAGTAGTTCCTACAGAAAAATGAAACCCTGGTATAAATCTGAAAAATTTCAAGTATTTCCTCTACAATATACAAAACTAACATTAATTACAAGCAGTCATGAAAAGACATGAAAAACTATAAAAATTGCTTTCTGTTGCTTCTCCCCCCAGCGCCAACTGTGGTGATCTTGATGCCTCACATTATTATCGTTATTATTGTAACTATAGGCAAATACTTCTTTCACCCAACCTCTACATGTTCAGTCTCTCTCCAGTATTGCCTTTGATTTTTATTTCTTGATATTTTTTTGCTTCTTTAGCTAAGCTCAAGTGAAACACAGTAGGTCAGAAAGGGAAACAATGAACACTTTCCACAGGCACAAGTAATCATTCTGAGAAAAAAAAAAAAAAAGTGCTTCCTCTACGTACAAATCCCTTCCCCATCCTGTGCCAAAGTAAGCAATGGGCCTACACAAACACTTAGAACACAGCCAGCATACATGGATACACTTTAAACAGATTTATATAACAAGTGAAACTACATCCAGATTTCTTATGGGTACCTTCACAATTCCAGGAGGTCTGACATTAAATTTTTACTGAAAGCAAAGCATGTGACTGACAAACTCAATTTCCAAGAAAACTATCTGGCCAGTGCTCTAGTGCTCAAAAAAGAATAGCTTTCAGTCTAGAGTATTTAAGTCTAGAGTATTTAAACAAGTCATAATTATGCAAGTGTATTTAAGGTCAAATGGAAAATTTCATTCTATCAGTCAAAGCAAACACAAGTTATGTTTTAAAATTACTTGAATCTTCTGCCCCCAAATATCCATTTTTAACAAATGACAGGGGGCCATGGTTTTCAGAAATACCTTTTCAAGTACTTTCTATCCTCTTTTTTCACATAATTTTTTAAAGTTTGAAATCAAAGGTCTTTGCACAAAAGCAAAAATGAAAAACATTAGCCAAGAAGGAGACAACAAGGAAAAATACATGCCTCTGAAAATATTTTACAATAAAACCAGAAGTATGATCTTAATCATATACACTGCTGTGCCTATAGTATGATATTATTATGTAATAATTACATATTATAGGCTTAAGAGATACACAACCTGCACACTTTGCCTGTATAAATTAAAAATGCAAACATTTTTATCGGTAAGAAAAATTCATATTTTCACAAAAAGACACTAAGTGCACAACATACTGCCTACCTTGTAAATTCTAGGACATTTAGCAGTTCATATCTCTCTTCCTGTCCCAACTGAAGAGCAATAAAAAAAAAAAGAGAATTAATGAAAAAAAACTCAAGAAATCAACCCAACCAACATCTCAATACATATGTACCATGTCGAAGTTATTTGAAATTATTTAACATAGCAGGAATAAATACAGCAAAATATGAAGTTACTCCAATGTACTTACAGACTCTATGATTACTGAGTCAGGTGTCCTTCCAGTGAATACAAAACTAAGATGCCTGGCTGCTCTGACCAACGCCCCTTCATCTGCAACAAGTCCAGTAGTTATTTTACAGATGTGCCAGAAACTGTTAGTTTACCCCATGTTTTAATGGACACAGTCCAAGCTTTTCTCTGTTTGACTTCCTTTTTCCTTTATAGATTTTAAGATCAGATGTGGTGCTGGAAAGAACTTTTTGTTTCTCCTGATGAAACTGATTAAATGAGTTTACGGTTCAGAGGAAATAAGTCCTCAAAGGAACATGCCTCTCAGATCAGTAATGACAGCACCCCCTTCAGAACACCTAGGTAAGCACTTTTCTCAGTAGGGCACTTGACAAGGTCCATTTCTTTCTGTGTAAATTCTGTTTTAGAAGTATGATCAGTCATGCCTACAAATAATAGGTAACTTCAATGCCTACTTTTAGGAAACACTTCAAGCAGCAACCCAGCCCCCCATAAGCATCAGCTGTTTTCAAAAAGCTTGGGATGTCGGAACAGAATTTGCTTGCAATGCTCAATAAAACATTGCCTTGGCCTAGTTAGTTTTATCTGTGGCCTTACCTCTGCCCTTGTCTTCCAATTGTTGAAGGACAGAATTTAGAGAAATAACCACCTAGGAACTGGGGCAGACAAAGAATATGAGGGCTGGAGACTCTGCACTTCATACCATTTCTCCCATTGTAACTTGTTATAATATATCAGTGCAGCAAAGCTGAGCATATTTTAATCATTTCGCCTTGCTTCATCACTTCCTGAATTAAAAAATTGCCTATGAACCACAGTAAGCCTGAACCACACCTTTTGCACTATAATCTTTTGTTACTCTCTAGTAGAGCTTTATCACAGCTTTTAGCCTATTAAAAACATTTTTCATTTTTGATTACAAACATGGTCTCTGATCTAAATCATGGTTACCAAGTAAAGAATAGATTCACAAGCAAGGACATCAATCTGTCTCCTGTTTTGATTTCTATTTGCATTTCAGCAGTTCCTTCAGAGCTCCACCACCTTAGGAGTTCTGTATGGTTAACCACATAATCCACAGGACATTTATATGTATTTTCTAAAGCAAATTAGAGAAGTCTAAATCCTTTTTTTGATAAAACTTATTTTAACTGACACCCATTCCTTTTTTTTTTTTTAAATGGATATATCCTTTGTTAATTTTGGAAGATACTTAAAAAAAACAACACAAACCAACAAATGTTGCATAAAATTTGCTTGTTGAGTTAATGGAATACTTTATGTTAACTCAGTTATCTGAGTCTCACCTGGAGATGCTGCCTGATATATAATTTTATCACCTTCTCTTTCTGGAACTGCTGTATGACACACTGCCATCATTGTCAAAAACTCACATATTATAGGTGCAGTTGGCTAAAAAAGATACAATGTCAGAGTGTGATTAAGCAATAACTAACTGAAATGTAATAACAGGTATGGACAAACAATAGTCATGTAAAATCTAATGAAAGATATTTTTACCCTCTTCTTTAAAAACTACCAACAACTAAACAAAACAGACATTATCTGTACAATAATTTCAGCATGCAGAATGACTTCAATACTGTCTATATAGATACCATTTAGTGTCATTTGCTATCATAACAATCAAAAGCAGATAATCACAAACCTATTACAATTAAGATTTCAATAAGCATTTTATAGGGAAGGTAAGTCTGAATGCTGTATTGAAAGACTTTTTACTCACTGTTGTCTCTTTGGAAGTTGGCTTTTTACTAGAAATACTCCCTTTTACATTACTTTTGTCTACTACTGTATTTGATAACACTTTTTAAGAACCTTTACAAAGATGTAGCAACCAAACCTGTAAACCATGCAGAAAACGATGCAAAATCAAGCAGTCATCTTTTAAAGAAAGACATTTAAATGAATGTCTCAGGCACTTTAGAGTCTACAAAGCTGAAACAATTTCAACTGATTTAGCCAAAAGAGGGGAAAAGAGTGTGTACAAGAAAACTAGTTGATTGTTATTGACAAATACAGCTAAAAACATTATTATAGCTGAAATTTGCAAAATGAATGGACTCCTGAATAGATATTCAAAAGAAATGCCAGCATTCCCCCTAAATGAGCTTAAAGCAGCTACCCACGTCAATCAATGATTTTTTTTGTAGCATATTTATTATATTGTGAGGCTGCCCCTTGAACACTGTGTTCAGTTTTGGGTCCCTCAGTACAAGAAAGACACTGAGGTGCTGGAGCGTGTCCAAAGAAGAGCAATAAAGCTGGTGAATGGCCTGGAGCACAGGTCTTATGAGAAGCAGCTGAGGGAACTGGGGTTGTTTAGTCTGGAGAAGGCTCAGGGGAAACATTGTCACTCCCTACAACTACTTGAAAGCAAGGTGGACATCAGTCTCTTCTCTCGCGTAACAAGTAATAGGACAAGAGGAAAGGGCCCCAAGTTGTACCAGGGGAGGTTTAGACTGGATATTAGGAAAAATTGCTTCACCAAAAGAAACACTGGCACAAATTGCCCAGGGAAGATGTTGAGTCATCATCCCTGGGCGTATGTAAAAGACATGTAGACATGGTGCTTAGGGACATGGTTTAGTGGTGGATTTAGCAGTGCTAGGTTAATGGTTGGACTGAATGATTTTAAGGGTCTTTTTCAATCTAAATGATTTTATGATTTGATAGCATCACAATTACTCTATAAAATACAATAATCTTTGAAAACCTAACTTAATTTGATAGTGCAGAAACATTAACGGAAGCAGGCTCCTATACTCTTCCACTGAGGGCCTCCAGATCCTCTAAGATTTATTCAGAAGCCTGAATTACACATTCTTTTCCAAAGCACCTCAGAACACATTTAACATACAGTGGTGAAATGTCTTTGAATGTGTGCCCAAATTTTTAACTTTAAGATGTATACAGATGCATTTTTATAGCTTGTATGCTCACATTATATATCCTTAATACTACATATCTAGCAGAAAACTTTTAAGATTCAGCCACTTGCGCACCAAGTGTGCTCACTCTAGACAACAGCAGTAACAGGATGATGCCTCTTCTGAGCAGTCTGTTCCTATCACTGAAGATAAAAATAGCCTGTGCAGTAAGTGTAAGAGCCCCCTCTGCCTTAGTAAAAAAATACTTCAGTCTGATAGTTACCCTGAAATTATCTTCCCGAGAAGAAAAAAAATTAAAGAAAAAAGTAATTTATTTACCCTCTTCCAAAACAGAACAGCTACACTATTAAAGGTAGGTGCTCTTGGTTATGACTAGGCAAAAACATCCCTTGTACAAATGACAGAAAATGGAAGGACAGTACTGTTGCTTTGTCAAATCATAAACTAAGCTATTGACTTTCTGTGAAATGTATTGACTTTTTTAGGGTAAATACCAGCCTCTACAATGTCTATTTCATTTCATCTCATCATCTGAACTGATGATCTAACCTCATGGAAGCATGTACGCAAAAACAACGTATATGGTTGACTCCTGTCAGAAATACTAGGTCATGTCAGGACAGAAGTTAAATTGACTGATCCTGAAAGCTTTCATGGATGTCATGACATCATACGGACAGCAAGAATAATGTTAAAACACCCACAGAATGAAGATTGTAAGACTATTGTATTTCAGATTCATAGCATCTGAATCATGCTATTTCCAAAAAAAGAAAAGGGGGGGGGGGGGGGGGGGAAGAAGGGCCATATCTAATATGTATTGACAACAAACAATTATAAAAATATTCATGAAGTCAAGTATTCATTTCTATTTTACGTAAATATATAATTTATTTATTTTCCTTCAAAGGACATAATCTTGACTTACAGAAAGCAGTGGTTTGATTTCACAAAACAATGGTAATTGTTTCTATATAACTTACATGATTGCTCTGAAGATTCTCCAGTAATGACGAGTCACTAAATGGTTTTTCTTCTCCATTTTGTAAGCCCTGCCTAAAAATAATTCAGTAGAAAAAAGAACATCATTAGCACATCCTTGACAATTCATATACAAATCATCCACATTACCATGCTAAGGTCTAGCACAAATTCTATTTTTTATCTGTTACAATAAAGGCTGCAATCACACACTGTGAGAAATGAAAAGGTACTTGTTTCACATCTCCAAAGCTCATCTAATTTTAAGAAACCTTAATTTATAGAAATACACTTAAACCCAGGGAAGTTTCCCTGGTGACTTCAACTAATGCAGGATGAAGTAAAAATATATCAACAATGTTAAGACTGTGGCTTCTTGCTTTTTGATCTCTAGCATGCAATTACAGTAGGGAGTCAGAAAAAGATATGTCTGAAGAGATAACATTTCATTGAGAAATCAGCAGTTTTGGAATAGGTTTGCAAATGCTTCAGAAAAGTCTGGTATCTGAACAAAGTAAGCAAATTGAATTCAGACATCAGGGAAGTCTGGATGAAGATGGTTTGTTCTCTATTACTCACAACCAAAAGGAACTCAGTAAACAGCCAAAGAACACAGCAACAGTGGTGAAGTAGGGACTGAAGAGATGCAAGATGGAGATGGTTCTGGAGAAACAAAGTCATACACTAACATCTCTCAAATTGCATAAATCTTCTGGCTGAAGCTGAGAGTTCAAAACTAGATACTTCTAGGAAGACCTGTTACTGCAGCTGACTTGAGTACATTGAGACAAGCTAATGGAGTTTGAAACTCAGGGAACTAAAACAGTGCTGAAAAGTAAACGCATTTGGAGGAAAGTATTCTTTTTCCATTTACTTTGGATCTTGCCTTGGATCACATAATCTTGCAAGACAGTGAACACATTCTGTGATTTAAGTTGAAGGATAAGCCATATACATCAAAGGCAGTCTAAAGGTTCTCCACAAAACCCAAAACTGAGCTGTTTTAGTCCTGCACTACCATGGAGGAGTATGGCTTCTATAACAGCCACTCAAGAACTACTTTTTCTAAAAAATGTATAATTAAAGTGAGAAATTCAAAGCATCCTTATTCACTGAAACTTTTTTTTTTAAAAAATGCAAAGCAAATAGATCTTGAAGTGTCAAATACTAACAACTTCAGATATGTTAAATATGGTTAGCGTCTAAGGTTTATACTTTGTTTGCTTTAAGCCTTCTCACAGAGAGACTTCAAAATACGTTCCAGATTCTCAGTGCTAAAAAAAGGAAGAACTTTTGCAGGTATATGTTATGTCCAACAGGAACACAATTCTTTCTAATTAAAAAAAAATATTTAAAAGATTTGGAATTAATGACTTTAGTCATTTTAGGACTAGAAATGCTACTATCAAACAGAGACCATTAATTGCAATAGATTTACACACAAAAAAATTCCTAAGTCTCTCATTTCGTAAGTATTTACAAGGCACTAATTGCTTATAGAAGGGAAGTATTGCCTTTTTTACTACTGTTCAGGCCTCAGTTCACACATTTCAGATATGCTTATGAAGATTTTGATGTCGATTAAGCCAAAACCAGCCTTATTTTATAAATATTTTATAAGCAAGTATGCTTAATTTCATTTAAGTATTGTATTATTTTAATGAAATCAACACTTTTGCAGTCAAACACACTTGTTCATCTTTCAAAGAAATACCTTGCTGCTACATCAAATGAGGATATTCAGGTCAGCTAAGACTTTGGGTTGTGCATATATGCCACTTTTCATGTGCACGTGGGGGGTATTTTTCAGTTTTTTTTTTTTTTTAATAATCTAAAGAAAGAGTTATTAATTCTACTTTAGCAATGCAATTTTTTTGATCTCAAACTTTTTAAACATAAGACAACACCACAGTTTTGTGTGACACATCTTGCTGTAACTTTCAAAAAATACAACAGTGATATTTTAAGTAAATGACATTTTTATCCTGATCTAATTTGAATGGCATTGAAAATACTTAGTTTAACAAAGTATGATGAAGTAGTACAAGGCATCATGCAAATGGTAGCAGCAAGGAAGCCAGGACTTAAGTCTTTCCTGAGTTCCCCATTAAGAGATTAACGTTGACCCCAGGAGTATATGTTTGATACACAGTTGAGAACTACGTAGTGCTAATATTCTGAAACTATCTATAGGAAGTAAAATATTAACAATAACTTATCAAATTTTCACTTTCAAATACGGACTTTGCATTCCAACATGTCAGAGGTTATTACTAACCTACTGCTAAGTTAACTGTAAAAAAGCGTGATAAAAGTTAATACCAGGTACTTATTGCTAAGTAACAGTAGAAAAGTGTGATAAAAGTTAATACCAGCTACCTTAATAAATTTTAAAACTTTCTCTCCAACAAGCAATTCTGAATTATACAAGATTGTCAGGAAAATAACTGTACTGTATCTCAGTGATCCTATTAGCAATTCTGTTCCAGAGTACACAACCTAATGCCACAGAATATGCCATAGCTGGCATAAATTTGTGTAAGATTGTCAATCTGCAACAATTTGAAGCTAAAATAACATTTCAGTAAAATACGTCACATATAGCCCTGGTTCTAAAAATCTTGCTCAGTGTTTTTAAGCTTGAATCTTCAGCAAACACCACATACTAAATCATTTTTAGAGCTTACCAATCATCTGAAGAAACACTATAATCCTCAGGCTCAGGGCAGTGGCTGCACAAGGAGTAAGGGAGGAACAGAAATAGGGAGAGGAAAAAGAATCACAAAGGCTAAAAAAATTGGTTATATATAGAAAGAAGTTAGTTAATGAAATCAAATTACTAAAAAAAGAAGTTTTAAAGGTATTTCAACAAAGTATTCTGCTAGTGCCTAGATAACAATAAAATACTGCAAATATATGATTTTTCTCTTGAGGCTTTATATACTATATTTTTTTTTCAATTGAAAGCTTGTCTACTTAATAACTTATACCAGTAGATATAAAGACAGTCGCTCTATTTACAAATATTGCTTTATATTTACAGCCAGCCATAGCACATGAAGGACTCTGCCCTGCGACGACACAGGTTTAAACATACCACAATTTATAGCACACTTAGAAAGAAGCAGCACAGGAGATGGAACAGTCACTTTTACCCTTCCCTGTGTTCCCAACTTCTTATTTGCATCAATACAGAAAAACAGAGTGACTCTGTTCTCTGAGTAGCTGTAAGAGATGCTGTAAGGCTATTCGCTGTAAAGAGAAACTGCTTTCTAAACAGCAGTGCTAACCAGAAAACTGGTAAGGAAAATTTGGTGGTTTTTTTTTTTTCCTAAAAACTACATTCACACCCAGGTTTCATAACGGAGAACTTTTAGAATTTGTGCTATACCAACTTGAGACGAAGAAATTTTGAACCAGATTATCAAATACTGATTTTAAGTGCCATGACCATTAAGGTACTTTTTATCTTAAAAAACTGCTATACAAAGAGCTCGAAAACAGTTCACAGCAGTTTCTCTGAAGTCACAGAGTTAGGTCAAGTGGTTGAAATTGAGCCATATATATGTATGTGTATGTGTTTGTGTGTGTATATGTGTATGTAAAACCACACACACTTATCTGTATTTTAATGCAACTAAAAAACCCATCAGAATAGTTAATGCATTAAAGATATAAGATTTTTTAAAAAACAAAAGTCTAGATCAGACTCACAAAAATTAGGATTTTTAAACGGATCCAAATCATAAAGCCACAAAAGCCAAGCCATCACACCTTTAGCACAAGCCCAACGCTTTATGACCGCAGCCTCCTCTCTACCTAGTACTAGAGGTGTCTAATGAACAGCTACTGAATGCACTGAGATTGGCCCAGGTCCAGCATCTCACATGCTGGTAAACCACACTGGCATTTAAAATATAGGTACTTCTGCCTTATTTACTGCTCTACTATATATTTTTTTTTTCCCAAGTAAACAGTCCTCAAAGTTTGAGGCTTTTATGAATTCTGTTGAAAAGAGCTGGCTGCACCTGCTGACAAAGAAACACTAAAATGCTTTGTTTAGCTTTATTTGGAGAGATTTAATAGGAATTGATATTTGGAGTTATGCCACTAGAACAGGATTCATAAAAGCCATCTGGATGGTGGCTACAGTACTGTAGTTCACGCTTCCATGCCGATGGAAGTTGTGTTACAGCAGCAAGCCTTCGATTTCTAAAATTTAGTTTTATTCCTCTTTGCAAAAAGAGATGTCATAACTGAAGTGATTATACCTCTTGTAAGTAACATTTCACAGCCACACACCGAATTATAGTTTTAGATAGTGCAAAGCTTAAGTCTATTTTAACTGTAGTTTATTTTAACTGTATTAAACAGACGGGTGCATATGGAGAGGAAAAGAAAGGTACACAGGTAATGGAAAGTATATAAAAATACGTACCCATAAGCAACTCCTGCTACAGTACACTTCTTGAACTGCATGACATTGCATGTCAGAGTACCCGTTTTGTCAGAAAATATGTATTTGACCTAAATGACAAAAGTCATTACACATCAACATTCAGCAGCTATTTACATATTTAATGCAATTCATGACTATCAACACACTAAGTATTTTTACCAGTTCTGTGGTCTTCATAGCTTATAGAAAAAAAACCAACAACCAGTAACCAACCAATATATAAATGTGGCAGATGCACATTCTGTGCCTGTGACAGATACCCATTTCCAAGCATATTAATCAACTGAGATGTCAGGAAGCTTAAGCTTGCTTCAGCACATGGTGGTATACTTAGCTCTCCATCACTTATTGAAATGCAAGAAACCAGTGAAGAACAATGTCTATACTAATAAAATATTCTATTTCTGACAGAAAGCAATACAGTAAAAGGGAAGTGTCTACATGCGTATTTAACCCCTCTTGACACTGAAATATCTTCTTAAAGCCTAAACATCAGTAAAAAAACAACAGTTCAGAAATGCCAAGTTCCAGGAATAGATGAAATATCTTTCTTTCTACATACTCTCCTATTTCCCTAACATCATAAACACTTCCTCTCTGGAAACTACTAGTTAGAGTATTTTAAAACTGAAGCTGAAATAAATTTATCTGTGATATATTTAAATATTGTTAAAACTTAATCTTAAGAAGAAAGTTAATCTATAAAGAAATTAAATGGTCTGTGATAAAGCAAAGGTTCTACTAGTCAAAGGTAAACCTCAACTTTAATTAAATTTAAATTAAAATTTATTTCTCATTAAAAAAACCTCACAGTATTCTTAATTAGGCATTAACTGCATTATATAAGAAGCTAATAAGGCTATGTGTTCGTAAAATTTATTCTGCTTTTCCTACTTAAAGATTCTGTTTTTGAGGGATTATGACTTAGCCAAATCAGCAGTTACAAGAAATCCTGCATGCCAGTTTTATGCCTCATCTGTATTTTTTGTTTTGTTTTGTTTTGTTCTTGTTGTGTGGGCACAACGGGAAAGCAGGAATGGAAGCTAAGAAAACTCAACTTTGGTTTTCCCAAAACCAAAGCAACAAAGTTTTGCCTTTCTTAAATCCTGAGGATCTCTTGGGGGAAATCTTTCCTTCATTATGTGCAGCCCTTATGTACTTTAGAAAAGAGATTTTCTCTTTTTGTTAACTCCCCACATATTGCAAAGTGTTTTTAAAAATATCTGACAAAAGGAAGAGAACAGAAATAAACAAAGACTATGGCAATAACGTAAGTTTTCTGGAATAAATCTTCACAAAATTTGCCGACATTGTTTAGTGCAAGGTGTCCCTACCCATGACAGGCAGGTTGGAACGAGATGATCTTAAGGCCCTTTCCAATCCTAGCTATTCTATGATTCTATGAGTAATTTCAACACACAGAGTCAGAACCAGTAATTTTTTTTCTACCTGTCCAAGTTCTTCATTGAGATTGGAAGTACGAGCCATTGCAGCAGTGTCTGTAGGTTCATAGTGCATATCTATGTCCTGCAGATTAAAAAAAAAAAATAAAAAAAATTAAATAATAGTCTTCCATAACTTATTACAAAAAAGTTCAGCATATAAATAGAAAACGTAAAAGAGCAGATCAAAAATGATACAAGTTATCTACTTATGATTATTTCAACAAGGGAAACCACAGATACAATCGGATCAGTGCCAAGAGTCCCCTGAAGAAATTTCCTCTTGAAAACAAAAAATCTGTACGATTCTTTGACATTTTACTGATTATTTCCAGTGATCCTTATTATTGAAAAACTGTTGTACCCATGTATCTAAAACTGTTTTAGCAACAAGCAGAGATACTACATTGTTACACATAGAAGTAGGTCTTATCTATTTATATTGTATACACAACCAGTCATTTCTAAGTAGCAAGATAAACATGCCTTGAGATAAAACCATAAAGATAAATTTAAGAGTACACAATAAATGTAGGGTACATTATAACTGGCGTGTTTGATTTAGTGTGGTTTTTTTTTTCTTTTTGGGTTGTTTTTTTTTTCCTTTTTTGTTAAAGAATGAATAAAATAAATCAGAGTGTATTTTTCAATACAGCAAAAGATTAAAACATTATGAAGTATGGCAATGTGGTGCGACAGACTGGAGATGACCAACTTCCCTATATCAACATGCACACACACAAAGAAAATGTTTCAGATAATGTCCTGAGTCCCAGATTAAGATAAATTAAAGACAACTAATCCCACCATGGAGTTACATGGCGGGGGGGAACAGAAGATAAAACCATCTTTTGGATTTGTATAAACAGTTGCCAATTTACACATTCAAAATGGGTGAGCCTTTGTTGAATATTTATTTTAAAATAAAGAACATTAAGGAAGACTTTAATTACATTCTCTTATTTGTCAACAATTTGTTCTACAGCACAAAAAAACCCGAAGAAATTAGAACTAGCTGGTGGCTCACAAAAAGACTGAACTATTAAAATCAAGCATACACTTCAACTGCTACTCCACATACATTTTTATCTGTATCTGCATGACATATCTTATATACAGAAATCCATTTCATACAGTTGATGAAGGAATCAGATTAAGGAGTTCAGAATTATATGAATAATTTACATTTGGGAAAAAAATGGAAAAATTGAAGGCATGCTATTAAGCACAATTACACAGCTTTAAGGAGAATACCTCACCCCCACCCCAAAGAGAGAAAGAGAGTAAACCCTTCTTTACCTGCCACTAATTCATTAAGGAAATAATAATAAAAAAATAAATAAAAAAAAAAGCCAAAGTGATTTTTATATATTTTTCAAGAGATAATACTAAAGACCCTGGCTTTGTACTAAAACCAGTGGGTTGTATAAAAACCAGTGGGAACAAAAAACACAGCAAAATACTGAAAAAAAAACAACAAAACATGAGCTACACTTAGAAAGAAGAAATAAAATTGGACAAAACTTCACTGGACGGCGAAACACTTTCTTTTAATCATTCTGGATGAAACATATACCTGAATATCAGTAATAAGAAAACACAAAACACAAAAAACAGGTTCCAAAAACGACTGCTGCAAGTATAAAATTACTCAATCAACCCATTTATTACTTTCTCAGATTCCAGTATTAATAAACAAAATATTTCAATATTTACATTGAGAAAAAGTCTGAAAAAAATGTATACTCTAAGAAGCAATCATTTCATTTACTTGTAAACCATTTGATTTTAGAAGTTAATGCATATTGTAAAAATAATATTTACCCAATTTATGAAATATGCCTGGATAAATTTAACAACTTCAAGTGTAACCAACAAACTGATTGGAATAAGATTATTGAAGAGAATGATAAAAGTCAAGAAATTCAACCCAAAGTTGCTTGCTCCACCATCTGCCAAAAGACAAAGCAAATAAAAAAGCATTTAAACGTTAGATTTAAAGGTATATATATATACAGTGCATTCAGAGTATTGCACTAATTCCTGATTTTTAAAGTACCTGTGTATAAGAAGAAACTTGAGAATTAAATATAGTATCACTTGCCTAGAAATGTGAACTTCGTTAGATTTAGTGATCTCTATTATAAAGTGGAGTTCAAATTTAGAGATCTTTGCCATCTTCTCCAATTTCTAAAAACCATTTTTACCAGCCACTCCCACTTTTGCGACATTTTACGATCATAATCTGGGAATATCTATATACAGCAACCAAATTCTACATTTTAGAGTTTCATATTTTTAAAGGGGGCAAATGTGTAGCGGAATGAGTTGTTTTTTTCCACTCACCCTCACACCTTCGTACTCCCCTCCTCAACCCAACAAAATATGATGAAAAAGGTAAATTCACACCATACAAGAAGGAGATGAAATTATAGTTTAACCAAATTTCAACAGAACTGGAAATGTGAATATTAATATGCAGTTTTAAAATACTTTTTCCTTTTAAAGCTTTAGATAACTCTAGTAGTAGCACTTCAGAGAAGATGTGAATGAGAAAGAGCAGTCTGCTCTCCAGTACTGCAAAAGGGTGAAAGATGTAGCATGCCTGTCTGTATTCAAAGATCAGACAAAGAAAAGCAGCCCCAGACAGGTTTCTGCTCTCTACGGAATGTGGGTCTGGTTGTTACTCTTAAGATCCAAGACAGCAGGTTTGGGATACTTTCATCAATATCAATTCCAGCATCAAAGGAAGTACAAGTCAAAGACCAGAGAGCTAACATACACCCTGACATTGATAATCTGGGTGACTACAAAAATCAGATGAAGTTTGAGCTATTGCTACCTGTAAATAAATCAATATTCAGATATTTATTGTTAATGTTACTACTTTTTTTTATCATCCATGGGCAACAGATTGTTCTAACTAAATGCTAAAAGCATTCAGAAAGATGTGGCAGTGTTGGGAACCTGTTTCATTACCACATAAAAATTAAATAACTGCAGGGAAAGGGGAATAAATTGTTTCTTACATATTAAAATTACCTGGTACATGAACAACTATGAGCTGAACGTAGCCCACAAAATCCAACACAATTCATTTAATCATGGGGCATATATCAGGCAATAGACTGTCAAGGATAATCACTTGAAGAACACAGAAAATATCAATGGCCACTATTTCATGTTTCCTTTTTTTTCCAAAATAAAACCAAAAGCTTCTGAACCACTTCACTACTGCGCTAACCACCATATTCTGAAAACTTCCACATTTCCCAGAAAAGAAAAAAAAATACAATGAAAAAAAAGAACCAGCTGAAAAAATAACAAATGAAGCACATGTAATGCAATTCTCTTATATTACTGGAAATTGTCAATATTCACTTTTTTCGATCTCACAATGCAAATATGAAAGTTAAGTTTCTTTCTTTAAATAGATCTCTTCCTCAGCATCAAAAAGAAGAGAAGCAAGGTTCTCAGTAAGGAAAAGTTAATCATAAATGCAGACAACTTTTGTTTAACAAAAACTTTAGCAGAGTGCCTTCAAACAGTAAGATTTTTCTTTAAAAACTGATCAAATTACTCCACAATCCCTACTTTGATGACCACATTCAGCAGTTTTGCATTCAAGACTGTTATTTAAAGATCAGAAAGCCTAATTCTGCTTCTACTGCCAAAGTAAAGAAGGCTCTAGGCCTATCATAAGAAATTCTGAAAACATGAATAACTGACCATAAAGTATATTTATGAAAACTTCCTTTAAATCTCTTTTCCTCGTGGAGGGTCAAATTACATCAATATGTTGCATCCTGGCAGGAAGACCCAAGTAACATCATATATGCCTTGCATCTACCATGAGTACAGCTGCACAGTATGTTAGATATTTGTGGTTTACCTTCTTTAGGAGCAGTCTGCTAAACTTGAGGTTTGCAGCCAGTAATTAGTTAGATCCCTGTACAGTAAAAATTCTAAAGCCACAGCACAGTTTCCTGGAATGAGGGAGTTTGAAAATTCAGAAAAGACACTACAGCTTTAAATGTAATCTATTGGTAATAGCTGAAAATAGCTTTAGTGTGATGTCTAGGAAGCTGACTGTTTACGCCAGTGGAGTGTTGATACAGACCTTGCAAAGCTGCAGTGATGTAGAGACTGAAAGATGTGTTGGTTTGAATTTAGCAAGAGCTCATACAGCACAGTAAGGTAATTTTATACTCCCTGTGATATACCCTGCCTGATTACTTTAGTCAACAACCAATACAGACAGACTGATAGAAAACACACTGTGGTTTTTGACACAAAGACAAGTGAAACACTAAAATATTAATATATTATTTTACATCTTACAATTTAGATCAAGATACCAGTCTCTTCCAGTATGCCTTCGATTCCATATAGCCGAACCAATAGAGCAGATCAAAGACATAGCAATGAGGATGCAGAACAGAATCAAAATCTGAATATTCGTAATTCGTTCCACATTAGACATTTTAAGAGGTGGACTTGTTGAATTCTGTAAAAGATATAAACCAACAGTGGCTATTAAATACTAGAAGAGGTATACACTTTTTGCTTTTCAAAACGCATGTTACTGCATTCTTTTCTAAGCATTCTTCCAAACACATCACTATAATAAATACTGTAACTTTTCCCCTCAAAAAAAAGAGGCTTATAAATCTATACATTAGAGCTTTAGTTTGTATTACAGTTTAAACAATCACACAGAACCTCATAACAGCAACAGCTAACAATATTAAAATGAATATGCATACACCTTACCAGCGCTATAGAAGACAATTGCTAATACAAACTTTTTCAAGTAACTGTTTTACAAATCAGGAAACCAATAAATAAGAGACATGCATGGCCAACTTGAAAGCATTATTTTTTGTCAACAAATGCATTTGAATTTCGATATTTCAAACAGCACTAGGAAAAGTAATTACATAGTCTGAGAATGGTTCTCTTCCCACCTAATTTTGCAAATAAAGTTTCACTTTGTTTTCTGACAAGACTGCTTACCTTTGTACTTGAAAGAAAGCTATACAAGAGAACAGTTTTAGGAGCAGTCAAAAATAAAAAAAGATGAACAGGCAAACATAATGATCCAGCTTGCTAATCTAACAGTTTTCAAAACATAAATTACAAAAACAGAATCAACAAATATGCTTACTAATGGAAAAACTACTCTGTAGCTAAACAACTAATAATCACAAGAAAGTACTTTCTTTTTATTGGTTTTATTTCATAAGAAAGATGCTCTATTACTGACATTTCAATTACTACATTAAGTCTAGCCATGTTCTCTGACACCATTTCCTATGCTGTGTAATGACATGATAATGTAACAAAACAGGTAATTTAGAAAAAATCTAAGTGACAAACCTGCATAAGTTTTGTGTCATGTCCTGTATAGACAACTATCCCATGAACCCACTGAGTATTTCTCAACTGAGCTCCTCGTAGAAGAATCTGATCAGCTCCCAGTGGAATAGTACTAGAAGGAAGGAGTTTTATATTTAGCATTAAAACAATGTCAATGAATAACATTACCATCAGTTGTTAAAACTAATTTTCAAAATTTAGACAATAAATATGCTAGGAGCCTAACTTTCATAGTTAACTTCTGGGGAGTGTTGACAGAGAGAAAACCTGTCAGTTAAAAGCAAGCCTAAGGGAATTAAGCATGAAAAATATTACTTACCAGTTCATTTTGTCTATGGACAACTAATTTTGATATGGTACTACTAGCATACTGAAACTATAAAAGGATATTTTTCCTGTGATTTATAATTATGCAGCTTTTTTCCCCAAGTCTATTCTTACAAAAATCTGCCAAAGCAATTTTCAAATTAAATAATTTTCTGAACTCTTAACTTTATCCGCTCTTCCAGTGAAATAAATATCCTTTATGAACATAATTATTTAAAATTCACAACATATTTTCTTCACCTTCTTTAAACTGCAAAACCAGCTACATTTACTTGTGCTACTCTTTTAGAACTGCACTGAGTAAATAAGCTATGAAACCTCAAAAGACATTGTAAACACTTAACTATTAAATTCAGACAGCTGACTTAATTCATATACTGTAGCTCAGGTTTTTCTTAAAATAGAAAAAAAAAATAGATTATCATTACTCTTTTCTTGGGACAAACAATACCCTATTTTGGCACTTTCCTTTCTATAAATACCAGCCAGCAGTTCAGACTTGTCGATAGTGTTCTACTGTTTGGCATTTTTATCTAAAACTATGATCTCTACAGTTGTTTGAAACCAACACATTGTGAAGATCACAAACTGCTTACTGACAGCAACTATATCTGAAATATAAGCTATAAAAAGTCTGAGGAAGTAATGATATTTGGTAACATTTTTGGTAGCACAAAGATCATGAAGTCAGTCTCAGCAAATAAATTTCAAGTAGTAATTTCCTCTGGATCATCATGCCCCTTTCCCTCCTCTCACACACAAGCTTTTAAGATTCAAAGAGCGCAAAGTAAAGAGGAAACAGCACATTCTTCCTCCCCTAAAATTAGCAGTGGCAATACAAGTTTTTTGGATCAGCTCTTGCAGAAACTAGAGAAAAAAAAAAAGTGTTCTTCCATAAAAACCAGAACAACCAACAAATGCCACCCCACTACAGCTTATTTCACTTTTGAGGAAACTAGCATGGAGCAAACTGGCTGTTTAAGGAATCATCCTCCCCACCAACTATGTATGCTTCAGCAACTGAAACTGAATGATATTGTTACAGAATATATTTCCAGCTGCAGGCATTTCATCAAAAGAAGGCATCAGGAAATAAAACAGAAATAGAAAACATACTGAGATTTACTTGCTTTCTGAATCTGACCCGTGCTGCTCCTGCACTTCAGATTTGTTCATATCATGGCAAAATTAAGAGAACAAATGTCTTTTCAAGTATGAAAGGAACTGCGGGGGTTTAAATTACCCAAGAATCATTAAGAGAGACTCCTGTTGCCATCAAAGACTGCTTCTGAACTTACATTTATCCATTCGCATTCTTGGAGAAGGATTCAAAGTCTTTTGGACCATCAGACAACAGGCAAACATTTCAGATAAGGGATGTATTACCTTCATTCCAAGAATAATTAGATATTATTAGCCTATTAACACTAACATGAATGCCACAGAAGGAGAAAGAAAAATAACTTTATTTCGTTATATGCAAGTCTCCCACGGACGGATTGGAAACCTTTTCGACTATCGACCTTCTCTGGAAGACCAAACGACTTTCTGGTCCTTCTAGTAATTCAAGAGGGTCTAGGCAGGCAGAAGGCAAAACCTTCCACCACTCTTAATTTTTGTATTCTTTAAAGAGTCACGGGAGTTCTTTGACTCTTCCTGTATCTTCCTCTTTGTTTTCTTAAGAAATACAAACAATATGCAATAAAGTCTTTTCTACTGCAGGATCCATTGATTCTTTTCTTCCACTGGGACACTATCTCTCAAATTCTCCAACTGTCCCAATTCTGCACCTTGGGACAGAAATTTATCCTTAAGGGTCTGTTACTGGGAAGACAATCAGAAGTTAATTGGGACTGCAGAACAAGTCCAATGGGACCTGTCTCCAGCAGACCTGGTGCACAGACCAAGGAAAGGAAAACACAGCAAAACAACCAGGGGCATAGAATGTCCAGATCTACCTGGTGTCATGCTAACAATCCTCAGTAACTCTCTAATAACGAGATGGTGTGATGATTTGATGGAGCTATTAAGTCACTATTTCCCAGTCTCAGCCTTGTCAAAACTGCTCCAACTCATCTGATTCTTCTTGTATGCTACATAACTAAGAACTCATCAGCAACATATTTGGGCTGCATTCAGTAAGGGATGTTCTCAATAGGAAATATTACCCTTTCAGCATATTTTCCTGCCAGAGCTGTCAAGGGTATATTAAGAACTCATAATTCCTAAGACACATTTGAAGGCTTACATACCAGAATGTCTTCATACTTCATTTTTACCTAAACTTTGTTTAAGAATGCCTTCAGGAAAACATTTACTTTAGGTGTGTATAAAAAATATCTGCCCTTGCTTTTAACTTGCTCACTCTTCCTCTCTGAGCCATTGTCTAATTATAATTTCACATTTATCCAAGCTAAGGAACTTTTCTTCTTTTTATAGATAACTGTCTTCATTGACTGAAACCAAGCTGAGGTTCTTCTGGATATTCATGAGCACAACAAAGAGCTGTATACTTTGGAGGATACAAAGAAAACCTTTTTGGCTTCTGTCCACAGATTAGCCATAAGGCAAAAGAACTGTAGTGAGGTTCTACCTCCTTGAATATTAAGAATTAAAAAAAAAGAAAAAAAAGAAAAGAGGACCTTTGTTTTTTTTGAGCTGCTCTCCCATGAAGGTAAAAAGAAAAGACTGAAAAAATCATCCAAATACAACATTTCTGGCACTGCAATGAGTTATCTAAAGGAAAAGAAGAAAGAAGAGGGAGATGCATTTTAAGTATTCTCTATGACTTTTGCAAAAGTTTTAAGATGGCAGTGGATAAACTGGAAATTGCAACAGCTGCAGCTACACAATCTGGTAGGAAGGTCTTAAAGATCTGAATGTCTACTGGTTAGATGAATTTTTGCTACCTCCAATATGGACAAAAAGAGAACTTATCTCTGATTTTTCAGGGCTGGCAATAAGAATCCAAAAAGAGTTACTTACCTGCAATTCTTTTTCACTGAAGGTAAATATTATATTAGAGCCACACTTTCGGAACTATTCTACTGCACAGGAACTATATTCAAAATATTCCAAAACTGAATTTCACAAATGAAAAACTGCTTGATCAGCAGATGGCGTGCTCCTACACATTCTTCAGGCATAATGGCCATCAGCACATTCCAGGTTTCTTTTTAGAGAAATTTAATTCTTAAAATTAAATAATTAGACTGAAAAGTATGTTTTTCCCTCTAGCCAGGGAGGAAAGATGAATGTGTGGATCTATTATAACTATTACCTTCAGAGAAGAATTACAGGTAAATGTTTTTCGCTTCTTAACAACAAGTACAGTGGAATTATAATAGATCCACACTCTTGCGACTGAAAACTCCCGGAATGCATCTGTAAGAAATCAGTAAATAAAAAAAGGAATATTAAGGGGAAGGAGTTAAAAAAAAAAAGTATTTAATAATTAGTTAGCACCATACATATCACTCTAAAACCACAAACACAAGTAACACTGTATATGGCAAAATACACGCCTACCAAAGAAAGAAGAAATCCTGTAAATCTTTGGGAATGAACGACTCAACAATCCTGTATCTATCAATGAACTTTATACTCCTAACGTACCACATTCAGTTCAAACCCACAGAGGACTCTAAATATCAATATTTACTTAGCACTTAAGTATTTTAAGAATTTTTGAAGCAGTTTTACAAGTATGTATGTTGTAATTGCACTGAGGCAATCTATTGTTATGGAAACATACTTTCAGTGAGCTAAGGTATTATATGTCTTTCAGGTAGCAAATTAGAAGAATTTGAGGTATACAGTGATGGACTCAATTTCACTCCATATTTAGACAAACAAAAGAAAACAGAAATAAAAAAAAAACAATGAAAAACTACTTCTACTCAGCTTCCATAATAGAAACTTAACAGAGGAGGTATCAGATACTTAAGCGAGTTACTAGAAACACATTCTATGACTATTACAATTTTAATAGCACTCTCATCTACTGTTAATAGCTATTGCTTTCTGAAGGTCAACCAGTACAAAAATTCAAGTTCTAGACACTAGAAGTAAGTTTTTATCCCTCAATATTTTTTTTTTAAGAATAAAGAATATATCAGAAAAGATGTTTTCTTTTCTCGTCTTAGCAGAACAGACTTTACTTTTCATATTTTAACTTAAATAGTTTAGTAACATATATTAATCTACTGATAGATTGAATCTTCCAAAAGGTCATCTTCCTTGGATCTACATACCCATGCCCATCCAGTCTGATGTTTCCAACAAAATCATAGAGGTGTCGGTTTGGGCTCTCACATTCAATTCTGCCAGAAAGACTCATCAAGCTTTCTATGTCCTTTATGTCTGATGTTAGTGGCAAACCCTGTAAACAAAATTTGTTTGTCATTACAGTAAGAATCACTTTCCAATATAAAAATGTATGTATTGGGTATTTGATGGTGCAAGACTAGAAAACCAGAACCCCTATGGCAGCAAAATGGAAATGCAACACTTTGCTGTCACACTGCTGGATGCTAAAGACAGTGAAAAAGTCACCTTAGTATCTTACAGCATCATGATGAAGACTGGGTTGTAACCAGTCATATAGCTCAGCAAGAATGTCCCTGAATACAGACAATGCACTCAGTCAAAAAATTATATTCCCTCCTTGCCTCTGACAGGTAATACTGGCACTACCAGCTTCTTTCTGCATGGTTTCTCTATCACCTATCCTCTAAAAACAAAACCAATACCCAAACTACTAATATTTCTACCTATTTTTCCAAAGAAAAAGCCCCCAAACAAAGCACAAAGAATGACTTAGGAGTACATCGATTCCTTCCACAATTAATTCGCAAAAACTTTTATGATGCCAATAACCTGCAGCCTTTTATTCAAACCACTGTAATTTCAACCTTCTAAACCAGCCATTAATGCTGTAAAAGAAGTTTTTATAAACAACAGATGAAAATAATATTAGCAGTATTCTCAAAAATTAAATTCATACCTGTCGAATTTTTAAGTTTGTCTCACCATCTAAGTTAGATGTTTCGATGTAGCACATAGCCTGTGGTTCACTATTAAGAAAACAAAATCCTTAATTTTAAATTATACTATCAAAATTCACAAACTTTCTGTAGTCTCTTAATGCCTATTCATGCAATCATTTTTTTTTTTTATCAAATCTTCAAAACAAATTTACAGGCAAATCTGTAAAAAATGGCAGTACTTTACACTTTCAGAAAAGTTTGCCTTAAAAAAAAAAAATTTTTCCTAAAAACTTAATGCTAAAAATGCTTTATACAGCAAAAGCTTTCTGTGTTTTTATATGAGATTAAGATACAGACACAAGCGTAGTGCATTTGCAGTGCCTACTGGTGTAGGCAGCAGTAGTTTAGACATGGAAGACTTTGTGTAAAAGGTTCTTTTATAAAAGAAAGTATTATTTATGGATAACACATTACAGTTTTTGAAATATGCCCTTTAAGACATTTAAAAGGCTGTTTTATAAATTGTTTTAAGTTTATGCAGAACATTATTACTTGAATGGTTAATCTATTTAACACTGATAAATGGCTTATCCTTTGCAATAAACTTTTTCAATACAATTTTCTGATATGAAACACAGCAGCAATTTTATCTTTTGTAAAATAGTTTTAGACTTTAAATCATATTACAACCATTACAGATCTCTTGACTAGGAAACCAGAGATTCAGCAGAACATGACTTTTCTTCAAGGAGACAGTAAGCAAGTATATGTCTAACAGGCCAGGATTTCTGAAGTACTCATCAGCTCCCATTTTCTGGGCGTGAAGACAGAGCACCTACTCCTTACATCTACAACAGATAGATGTTTTGATCCTATAAAGGATGAAATGAGTCATAAAACCCCCTTACAGCTTAAAAGAATAAATGTTTACTCTCTACACCACTCTAAAGCTTCTAATATTTTCCTTCTTTGCAGCATGAAATTCAAGCACCAAGCGTTTTGCAAAATTTCCTTTCTTAATGCAACAGTGCCTTCTGATTGCAGGATAAAATTAAGTAGGTTATTCTAACACATTTTTTTTGTAAAGCAAATGTATTAAAAAGTGATATACTGCTTTCAGGCTAGTGTTTCCTGGCAAACTTTTCTAAAATGTAAATAACCTCTATTTAGATTGTTTGTATGGAATCACTTGTATAAAACATTATTATAATTCTAGCATTTTTACTGGTTAATATAAAAACAAACAGTATTTTTGTGAAGCACTTTTAAAACAGACTGAGGCAGCAAAGCCATTTCAAGTCAGACACATGCTTAATTGTAATTACTGTAGCAGATAGCAGTGACCTCCAAAGTAAGTTACAATTAGATCAAGGCAGGCCCATTGATTTATTAGGGAAAAACAAAGTGTGGTAACAAGGCAGACAATAGCATAAAGCTGACACATCTAAGAAACATGCATTTTGTTACAATACACAAGAACAGTGCTGCTTTTGCCATTGCATGCAGCAGAAATTGTGCAACATCCAGTTTGTGCAGAGGGTCCTCTACCAGTCCTACCAACATTAAACTATATTCTTTGCTGAAAATAGTGGGTTGGTATAAACATGTATATTCTTAATTTGCTCTAAGGAATTAAAAATATATTTATACTGGTGTCTTCCCGTGTGTTTATTCAATGACAACTTGTTTGACAAAATTTCATGGCAGTAGTGCAAAAACAAAGAGGACTGAAATTTTGATTTCTTGGAGTGTTATCATGTATTTACACTTTAATGATCGGCATTTTTATCAACTCAACCCCTTCTAATTTTATAAATGTGTGGGTTTTGTTGAAGAAAGCTGAACAGCAAAGCAACTGTTATCAATATGGCAGTGTTCTTCATATTTGGTATATGAGGACCCACTTACACATCTCCTGTGAAACTAATTAATTCTAACCTTGATGACAGACTGATGAGATCAGCTGGGAGATGTTCCCCATTGGTCACTTTCACTACTTCCCCTACTGCCACCTACACATCCCAGTTTGAAAATGGTTAGAACAGAAAAATAAGTGACATGGAAAAAAACAAAACAAAAATGGACAAAGACAAAAAGACAGAGTTTGAAATTATTATTCAAACAATACATGTTAATTAAAATGTCTGATAATAATTTTTTCAAAATCTATTCTAATCAGGTCAGAAAGAAAAGAGCTAGAATACTTTTACTCAATTATATGGTTTTACTCTAAGGCACTGATTTTAAGCTGCAGAACACATTGACACTGTACAGTAAAAATAAAAAGCTGTTATGCTTATTTCTCAACTGACAAAGTTTTTAGATACTCCATATATTATCTATAAAAATAAAAGCCACAACAAAAGATTTTCCACCAACTTTTCAGAAAGTCTGATGATAAGAACCTTTTCTATATAGACATGCTGAATATTATTGTGTTTTGCTTCAGCTTTGTAAATTTCCAAGCACAATTAATTAGCAAGAACCAAACAGAATCAAACCTCAGAGGTCTGTATCCTTCTGGTGTAAGAAATTATAATTTCCTAAAATAATTAAGAGCCTCTTATTCTCCAGAAACTGCTATTGCTAGTAAAAGGAACCAAATACCATGAGTTTGAATTAAAACCAAGCCCACAAGCTTGCATTGCTATTGAAACCTAAAGTGTAATTGGGGACCAATAAACACCTGGAATGCAAAAAATTGATAAGATTGTCTTCCTGGAGAATGCACAGCCACATGGAGATGAGAAAGAGAGCACATTAGAGGTAACATTAAGTAGCACAGGCTTCTCTCCTGGAAGGAGGGCTGCAACAGGACCCTAGCAATACAACTAAGAAGGAAGCTGTAGCTCGAAGAAATGCCTGAACTGGGCTCAGAAAAGCAATCATGATTCAAGGAGTCTCCTTTGAAAACTGGATTCTAGAAGGAAACCTAACAGGAAAACTCAAGGTGAGTAACTGTCATAGCTGGGACAGTGTGTTCTGACAAGGGCAGTAAAGAGAGGTTAAACAAAGAGGTAATGATCTTAGCCAACTCCAGTAGCAGCTCTTACTTCAATATATCAGTTGGTCAATGAGAAACTTTACATAAGCTGGCAGTGTGTGCTTGCAGCCCAGAAAGCCAACCGCATCCTGGACTGCATCAAAAGGAGCGTGACCAGCACTGGAATGGGTTGCTCAGGGAAACTGTGAATGCTCCATCCCTGGTCGTGTTCAAGGCCACGTTGGACAGAGCCTTGGGTGACATGGTTTAGCGCGAGGTGTCCCTGCCCATGGCAGGGAGGTTGGAACCAGATGATCTTAAGGTCCTTTCCAACCCTAAGCACTCTATGATTCTATGACATAGGATTCCTCTAGAAGGGGGACAAGGCTCAGAGTAATGGTTTTGCAGGCAGCTGATAATTTTCTGTGTGTGAACTACAACTGGAGAACACTGTAATAATGCAAGTGGCCTCCAAATCCAAAAGGGCACACAAGAGAAGACATCAAGGCAAAGACTCAAATTTAGTTTACTCAGATTTCAAAGAAGCTGGTCTGAGAGGATGTAACCTTTTCTGCCTGTAAGACACTTGGGTTAGCATGACATAAGCTCTTATCAGGCCAACAGAACAAGTGTTCTTGCTGCATGGTATATTGCCAAAGAAGATCTTGGTGGAGAAGCACCAATAAAATTTATAAATGCTTCTCAAATTGCAGAAGTAAAGGTTTATTGAGGATACTCCATACAAAACCAGCTAAGTTATGACAAACAACCAGCTAAGTTATGACAAACATTAGCACTGAAGACAGACTGTGGAGAAAATTTACTGTATTATATGGCAACTACTTTACACTTGATAATAATAAAAGTGCTTTAGAAACTGCAACACTTAATTCTGAGATGCGATGGAAGATGGAATAAATAAGGTACTAATCTACGCTACAGTCTAGTCACAGAAACAGATAAGATCCTAACCTTCTTAATTGCATGTATGACTGGATTCATTAACTTCAGTGGAATCATAGAGGCTTTATACCTAATTCAGAATCATACACTTCACAATAATGCTTCTGCTTGTGCCAGAAAAAACATGGAAATTTCATTATAAACTTAGAGTAATAAATCAGAACGTTATTGATCATATTTAAATAATCTTCATTAAAACACTTCTTAAAATGTTTTCTACTGACCTGATCAAATAGATGTTGAAAAATGTTTATCTTCCACATAAGATGTGGATTTCTTAAATAAAACTGTCCAAGGAAATGATGATAAACAACCTCTGATTGTTCATGTAAGAAGAACTTATTATCAAAACATTTCATGCTATAAAACAAGTCTTGCTTTCAGTGCTGAAATTATTCATATTACGTATGTATATGAGAATTAAGTGAATATTCAGTTCATAAAGACAGCACTAATTTGATCATTCACATCTCACAATCACTTTTTTCCTGATTCAACTATCAAAATGGCGACTATATCCATTAAAAACCATGTCAGTTCCCTGTAATATATCAATTTTAATTTATTTATAGCACAAAATTTGTTAGGCACACACCAAAAAGCCAGCCAGTTTAAATATGGCAGTTGAAGTTCAATTTTTAGAAGAAGAATCACCCTTTTCTGTATTGTATTCAACAAGAAAACTATATATTCTTTTTCTTCTGGGTAAATTGAATGGCAGTGTAAACTTAAAACTGTAACTGTCACAGTTTAAAGAAACACTGCCTTAAATAAGTGCCAGAATGAACAAAAGGCTACACTTCAGAACAGAAGCATTTTTGTTTATTCTTTATTTCCTTGGAACAATCACAAATAAATAAATGCAGGGTAGAGAAACCAGCCTCTACATTGTAAGCATCAGTGGGCATCTCTACCTTGATGAGAGCAGTACAGTGTCAGCAGGTATATACTCTTTGCCTTTTATTATAACTATATCTCCAACATCTACCTGAAAGAAAACTGGGAATTGGTTAATGGTCTCAAACAAAGTATGTTATCCCTTTGTTTTAAGCACAGTAAATATTTACCTGCTGAATTTGCTAGAAAGATTGTTAGAAACACGCACTTAGAAAAGCCTAAAGGTATTAGGTACTCCAGTGACTCAGAGGTCATTGAAACTCTTTGGAGATCTGTCAGGTTTTTTAAACAGTCTTAATCCTGACCTTCTCTATGCAGTTCTTTACTTCTGCTACTTACTGCAAAATTCTTTATGGGAAGACTGAAGCTGAGTTAAAGAAGAAATTAATCTCCCCTAAGATCACAGCTCAGTTGCATCACACTACATACCATATCCTTGCTTCTCCAAGGATACAAACCAATTTCAGCTGAACCTGGTCTCCAAATTCCTGCGGGTCAAATTTTTATTCAAGTTTTCAGGTATGGAAACCAGTACAACTAGGGGACTAGGCAGGAATGGTAACATTTAGTCCTTTAAAGTTACCTTTAACAGTCCCTTCTTAGCCACTATGTAACAGTCTTTAAAGTTCTCGGGATTTAAGCCAAAGAAGTTCATTGAATACACAAAGTAATTGGTTACTGAAAAGAAGTTCCTGCTTTGGCACACCAACTACTACTATGGGACTGCATAATTTTGCCAAGTTAATCATATTATTTAAGCTATTTTTCAGTGAACTTAAAGTCCACCACTGAACAGCAGTTTTGCCTTACTCATATCATCAGAATTGATTTGACTTAAAAGTACATTTTAAGAGGGAAGTATTAACAAACAAAAAATAAATTACAAAAGACTACACCTTTCCCATCATACCAGTTCTTACGGATGACAATCATTTAGAGAAATAAAGCAAATATTAAATATGCATTATGCTCTAACAGTCACCAATACAGACACATACCTTTTCCCAGTGGACAATCTCCCATGCACCATTTCGTAGTACTGAAAAAAACAGGAAATAAAAAAGAAAGATTGTATAACTGGAAAATTCTCTAACTGCAGTATACAGGTATGTGTTAAACTCCATATGATAACCAAACACAGCTCATTTACACAACATCTTACAGCATGCCTTGTTTCTATGAATTCAGGTCAAACATTCCCATTTTACAGAGCATGTTCTGTATATTAGTTTTTGTACCATAGAATCTTACTAAATGTCAATGATGACATCTTACAGGGTTTAAGAATCAATTAAATCTGATACAGATTGTATGATAATGTAGTGTTCTAAAAAATAGATTAGTAATTGGGATAAAAAATGGCAAAGTGAAAAAGCTATGAAGTTATTGTGGGGGAGAAATCAACTAAATTTTTTTTTTCACAGTTCAAATATTGATGATGTTCATACAAAAAAGATCCATAAAAAGTCACCAGCAGGCTTCTTAGCATTCAGCTGTTTATACTGTTGCTGGCATGTCAGAGAAATTCAGAAACACTACAGCCATCTCCTCCATAAACATATTGGAAATCCCCCAAATCAACTCATGCCATTGAAGATTTAGTATAGCTTTTACCTGGCACTAGCAAGTTTTATTGCAAGCATGCTCCACTACTCTAGTTTTAAGTATTACTACCATGATATAAAACCCATGCCTTGTTTGTCAGTTAATTGCCAAGACTGTCTTTTCAGAGAATAATAAAGGTAACTTTTTATGATTAGCCCTAGTTACAAAGCTATTTAAGATTCATAGGCGAAAAGAAACTGAAAAGAAAACGTACTACCATGAATCGATACCCAGATAGATCCAAGAGGTTGTTCTCCTTCACTGTGCCCCCCAGCTTACGAACTGTCAGGATGCTTAAGTACCTGATCAGGATCCAGTTCTTATGCAAGCACTTGCTGATTTCAAAAAAGTGGATCAAAATGTGGGAATACACACAGAGTTTATATCTACTTCTTCCCTGAGGTTCTGTCCAGACTGAACCCCTCTTCCTGTATCTCAACAGTTCACTGAGTCATTACCTAACCTGCTTAATAATTCTTTGGGATAAGATAGATTTTCTTACCCTTCCTTCCCCTGTATTTATTAGTGCTGATATGCTCAGGGGAATGGTAAATAGAGCAGTCTCCCTTTCAGACAGTAAGCAAGATCTTTTAATGACTGTCACCAAACAGCTGATCATTATAAAAAATCTGTTTTGACAAACAATTCACCTCCACTGGGAAAACAACAGATCCAGAACAAGGATTGGTTGTAATAGTGTCCTTAAGGAACCCAAGAGGTCTGATAACTGTGCCACCACCTACTTCTATTCATTTTGTGCCAGCAATATTCTTTGTGGGGCCATGGTACCAACCAGATGAAAGAACTGATGAGGATCAAAAATATACCTTACTGCAATCCAGATGACTAAATCTCACAAATAGCTGTAGTAGAATCACTGCCAGTGGAGTTCTGCAGGTCTTATTTATAAGCTGCCAGAGGTGGCCAAGGGCTTCTTATGAAGTGCTGGCTGCAGAAGCACTTGCACTGCTGAAATATACCCTAAGGCTGTTTCATATGCTGCCAAGCTGCCCTAACATAGCATTGCCACTGCAAAGGGAAGGTCCTGTTCTGCCCTCCCCCCATGCAAAGGTGTGTGCCCCATTGCTTAATGCATGCTGCCTCTGGTGTTGGACACTTTGATGAGTCAGTTTAACCTACTAAACAGAAGGAAACTGTCAGCTTTTCATTCTGGATTTGTTTCCTGCTGGTTTAGCTGGTTCAAATCAGCTCACAGACAGATGAGTCAGACTTGAAAATATGAGACACCTGAAATCTCAAGAGTGCTCTAACCCTAGCTTGATCGAGTGACTTCTAAGCAAAATTAACATATACTGACATTCAATTAAATCCATTTTTTGTAAGACCCAAAAAAGAAGTGGTGTTGCTATACTCCTTTTATATAACAGTTAGAGAACTTGTGCCATAAAGTCTTCTGCTGCCTGGCTTTCACATTTGTAATTCCCATTTTTAGCTGTCTCTAACTTTCAAAAGCATGCTCCATCTGCCCTACACAAGACAACTTCACCACACTGCAGAAATATACGTTTCATTACATCAGTGTCTGCCAGTGTCCTGCTGTGTATGTATGCAGCCTGAGGTAACAAAAATCATCCCTAATGCAGCCTAATAAATCAAAATCCTCTGCAAAAGGTTTTTATAGTAACTGAAATTTAGAAAGTTAAGTACTTAAGGTTAATGGAGATACAGATGGTCTTTAAGGAATAGACAGATGAAGGGAAACTCATATACAGAATCTATACATGCAACTGTCATTTCATTAACAATTTCATACGTTTAAAAGACAATGGAAGGTGGAGCTGTATATATAATGTACTAAGCACATTTTATGTAATGTTACTTTTCAGGGTTACAGGACTGCTGAATACATGGTGAAAGAAAAAAAGGAGTACCATACTGATTAACTTTTTAATTATTGCTTTGACAATGGACTCTATTTGAAAATACATTGAAATATTGCTTTGACAGTATGGTAAGACTGATGCCGTAGTTAAGTGAATCCCACATTAGTTTAAGAAACTTGTTTCTCAGTACTAGCAATATTTATGCATCCTCATTACATTTCAACTTCCAAGATGCTGTTTTGCATGCATGAACATTCAGGAATTTTACGAACAGTCACCAAAGAGCCTAATGAGAGGCAACCAAGGAGAAGAGGCAGGAAAGACATTAAAATAAGACTTTTATTGATTTTAAACTCTGTACACTCTGAACAAAATATAGAATAAAACAAAAGGCACTCCGAGATTCACTGCTACCTAAAACTGCTGGTTGCAATCTCAAAAGCTATTAACATTTGATGAAAGAATTTTAGATGTCTACATAAAAAACAAAGGAAACCTTAATTTATAGATAAGAGGTTATCAATTTCTCCAAGCCTGTTCTCTTGAGATTTCTATTCCCAGTGGTTTCAGTCGATTGTCTCATTGTCTTTTTCAGTTACATGCTCAGTAGTTTCATAACTTATCTTCCTCCTCCATCCTCCATAAATTTTACAGTAAACTTCAAAACTTATGCACAATTTAGTTGGGCTTTAGAATTTATGTTCTTAAATCAGAGACATTTCCAGTAGTTGGCAGTGTTAAACATTTCTGATTTAGTCAATGACTGCATCCCTCCCTAAAAAACTAGAGGTTACATTTCTTTCTTATTTATGTAAGATCTCATGTAAGATTCTCCTCTTTGTGGTATTTTTCATACCTGCTGCAATCAAATTCACATGACGGTTATTTCTCCTCCTGTTTATAAAACCAGGACCAGCTCTATTAAGAGATGGTTGCCTCAGAACAAGTAACATGAAAATTTGAAAAGCAGCAAAGGAAGAACTTAAACTCAGACTTCCACACAAGAAACATGTTTAGGACATATTTCTCTCACTTTCTGAGCTAAAATAATGTTCTAAATTAATAGTTGTTCTCTATTTGAAAAAAGTAAATAAACACATTTCAAAGTTTTGGGTTAGGTACACTGCCATCTCATAATCTCTAATAAAACCATTATATTGATTTCATATTAAAAACCAAAACAACAAAAAACCCAAACCCCCTCTACTCATCTTTATCCACAGTTTCAAAGCAACATAGAAAGATAGTTCCATTTTATAACTTTCCCTTCCAATTGCAGAGTTTTGCAAAATCAAACTGTTCAAGATTTGATGGTCAAAAAAACCCAGTATGATTTGTGTACTCAGCAATGCATAGATTTTTCATCATAATCTAGGGCTACTAAATACAGTGGTGATTATGACCTTTTAATAGCTACAGCATCACCTATGTTAAATGAGTAAATGTTAAAGTTTCTTAGGAACCTCATAAAAATTTGGAACATATTCCATTTGGTGGGGCTAATGTGACTGCAAATTGTTATTGCAACTGTTCAGATTTAAACTTTTGAAGTAATGTGCATAAGCAATTTCCCACTCAATCACCTGTCAGCAGTTCAAATTACACTACCATCATTTGCAAAAAATTCAAAAAACAACACCTCCCCAACCCACAACTATTAACTGGCTTAAAAAAATTTCCTACCTTGAGTTTGTTTCTTGTTCACTGCATTATCAGCTTTATGCCTTTTCTAAATTAAAAATTCACAGTGGTTAAAGACTTCTATTGACATCATAAAGCTTTCACACTTAAGATAAAAATCACATGCAATACCCCTCCCACTCATCAATTCAATAAACTGACTTAAACATTTTAAAGATTTAAAGTCATGATTACTTGCATAATTATGATCATTAGGAAAGTCACACACAATTCCAGGCTAATTGCATTTTATTTGAATGTCCTCCCATGTGGGCAACTGCTACCTAAGCAAGCTCCTTATATAAGAAACAGTGTACTTGTGTACCATAACTTTGCCCTTTCCTGGGAGGTGATTCTACCAGAGCAAAGATTGTGAAACCATTCTTCGTACTAGTGTCTCTAAGTAACAAAAAGCTTAGGAGACTACTAGTTTAAACACAGTATTTAACGGTAATGAACTCAGTTCTTTCTGAACAAGAACATAATTTGAAAAATTAATTTAAATAAAATTAACTGTTTCAGGTAAGCTTTTTGAATAGAGCTGCATAAATTCAATGCCTTTGAAATACAAAGAAAAATCAGAAGCAACCTTGTAAACTGAAGGAAAATAAGTCAAGCTACTCAACAGATTTATTTCAAATAAAATGCCAGTACGACTGAGCTAGCAGCTCTTAAAAGGCCAACTTCTCACTTTTCAAAGACTAAGTTAAGGTATTATTTTTTACAAGATTTTCATAGATAATCAGCAGATTCGCCTTTCAAAAAGATGGCTGATTCTACAGATAAATAACCTTTGATCAATGGAAAGGCACATAACTTTATCAAAGCAGGTGTTTCTTGGCCCATGAAGAGAGTCTCCTCCAGGTTAAAACAGGTAAATGTTTAATGTCAGTTTCTTTCTGAGCTATGATGGGTGAAAATCATTGGAAACAGCTGATAATCTAGCACTGCATGTCACAAATTTTGCTAGCACTTCTGAAGCATATATGAAAAACACATTCTGTTCATGAATAACGTCTTCTGCATCTTGGGATTTCATTCCAGAAAAAGAAGCATTTGGTTCTTAAGCCAAAAGTGTTATTTCAGTAAGTATATTTATTGATATCAACATGTAAAGTTCCTATCCAAAAGCCAATTAATCTTGCTTTAGTAAAGAAGATAATCTTGGGTATCTCTCTGTGTAAAGAAACTAAGACATAACAAAAATTAAAGGTTGAGGGAAAACACACTCAATATTTTAGTATGTAGCAAGTGTTCAGCTTTCACAGGAAAAAAAGTGCAGGTGTCAGTCAAACATTCCTTCATGATATAACCAGCAGGCAACATTAAATTTCATACCTGTTTGACTACAGAACCAAAGCAAATAATTTTTATTTGGACTACAGTCCAAAAAACTCAGCTGTGTGATAAATTCATGAAGTTACATCACACACATACACACACACACACACGTGTGCACACAGAGCCCTTAAACTAGCACCTAAATTCTCCCAATCAGCTCCTTCATCTCTTTCCTTTCAATTAAGTGCGGCAGGAATCAACTACATACTGAAATAATGTAAACTTAACAGAAAAAAAAACAGTATTTAAAATGCTTTTAGGTATCCCAGTAGTATTTAGTAATGAGAATTTTACTGGTTTAGCTGACACATGCAAAAAACACTAAACCTCTTCCCTGTCTTCCGCCCCACGCCAAACTCCACACTTCCAAGTTGCAAAGAGCAAATGGTAGAAACAAATGGCAGAAAAGCAAAGTGGATGAAGAAATTTTTAAAAAAGGACACTTTGTGCAGTTAGCAGCAGCCTCAGTTTTATATTTGCCTAGACACTGACAGATGGTGCAAGTCTAAAGCATTAACAGCAGAATGGTTAAAAATATCTGAAAGAACATGAACTGATTTTATGGCTTTTTTAAAAGTGATTTTGTTTACATAAAGAGAAAGCAACAAAGACATTTAAGGAGAAGGTGACTATTGGGCACCAAATACTACAAATGCAACACAGAATAAAAACATTTATTTGAAACACTGTTGCCTCTTGCAGGACCACTCAACTCTGTGGCCCAGGAGTTCACACAACCCTCAGGACAAGGTATCTTGCCTGCCATACATTCACAGAGGTAACTGAGAAGACTGAGATCACTGTATCAAGTGTAACAAGCTGCCCTCCACTTCAGAGCTTATTTGTGGCTCACCACTCTTCCTCTTAATCATGTTTCTGCACCTACATTGTAACTCTGCTCAAACACAATAAAAATGATGTTCCCAGGAGCAGAGAAAGACTCTACTACTTGCAACCCTTTACAATAATCAAGGGAACAGTGAAGGGAGAAAAAAAAAGCACCAAACAAAAAATTAAAAAAAAAAAAGAAAAGTATTTAAAGGTTATTTGGTTTTAAATAAGATTCCACCCAAGATGAATTCAGTAGCTTTCAATCTTCTTTTAGCAGAGCCATTGTTTGAGAAAACTAGCAATGTTCTGGTCTTGACTGGGTTCTGTGGAGTCTTTCCAGTTCACACTTTGAAAATATGCTTCATTATCAAGAACTGTTGACTAGAAACAATCTATATAATAAACACAACAGTCTCTGTTTTGCCATGTTACTGTCACATGTATATATAGTTAACACACTTTCAAATTGTAACACCATGTTCTAAAGATTTCATCTCAAGTAGCTTCAGAAGCTTTCAAAAGCATCTGTAAGGCAAGAATGGCCCAACATCAAATTATTCAACAAAATTTTTGTAATATAATCTATGAAAAATTTGAAAGCTGTTTTCAAAATATTGGTATTAAATACTTACAATATCCTCTATTATCTCCTTCACTGCAGCTACAGCTAAAATAAATAAGAGAGGGACCAATGTTGTGTAACGGCCTGTTGGTGACACATCTGGTATTTGCTATTAAAAAAAAAAAAAAAAAAGAGAAAATTTGTTTGCGTTGCTGGTTGAAAATATATTTTTAACACAAGAATCAGTACTTTATGTGCAAATACAGACAAGGCAAGGCAACTGGATTCACTTTTTACACATGTTGCTGATTATTTCCAAGTGAGGATTATTGTCTTCAATTTAAAAGCAGCTGATACAATAGAACAACATTTGCATTTTAAATAGCATGCTATTCAGCAGTTGCTTTCAGAGGTTTTGGTGGCTGCAGAATATTCATCTTCCTCTTCTGTATTTCAAATTAAATTAAAATATATATTTATAAAACAATTTTTTCAGTTTAGATTTTTGTTAGAATGGACACAAGTATAAGGTAGTTTTACTTTAAGCCTTACAGTTTTAAAATATTTTGTATCATACTAGTTATTAATTGACAAAGAGCTGCTTTCTGCCAGACTGTTGTAAGAAACCCATTTTTGCTAAGCAGGTATTGGCAAATGATGCAAGTGAATGTGTATGTAAATGCTGAGAAAATGCAGCTACTCATGTGACACACATGGATGCTTATCCATAATTATACTGACTAGAGCTCTTAAATGGCGACATTGCCAGGTGAGAGGATTGCTGCCTTAACAGATTCATAATAGGAAATGCATCCAATTTGACTACAATGAGACCTTTGGAAGCAGAGTATGCTAATAAGTGGTGCCTCAATGTGGTTAGAAGACATCCTCATAAAACGTTCTGAAAAACATCCACTGTTACTTATGATTTATATAATTTCTTTTTGCTACCACCACACTATGCTTCTGAAAGAGAAAAGGATGTTATGCACACATATACATCCTGTGTTTCTTGGAGTAAGACCAATATAAATCTCTATTTTCCAGGTTACTCCAGACTGCATTTTTCAAGCGATTAAATGGAAACCAGGCAGAAAGCTATTGTTGTGCAAATGTCTATGTGTTGGCTACAAGGGAAAGGGATGTATCACTTCTTCAGCTATTCCTACCCTTTTATTCCTCCACATGTATGCCTGAATTCCCCCATTCCAATTACACATTATTTTCCAGGCAAAGTATGAAAGCAAAAGGGGCATCCGCCTTGTACCCTCATTTCATTACCTCATGTTCCTTACTCCCGTTCAGTCTTACTGATAGCCTGACAGATGGTGGGCTTGTAAATCCTAACATTCCACTTCCTCCACCTCAAATACCTACCTGCCAGCCTTTCACCCAATCATGCCAAGCCTTAAACAGCTTCTGAAAGCTCACATTCCAAATCATGAGTTTGATGTGCCCGGTGGCACCACAAGAAACACTGCTGAACCACTGGATTAGCCTGAGATGTCCCATGTGGTCAAAACAATGTTTAAAAGCCACAGATTTGCAGGCAGACAACATAGTGAAACTACGAACTTCAGATTTTTTTTCCCCTGTGGAAAACAGTGCAAGTTACCTGTGCAGATGTATCCTAAGCAACTGCTCCGAGCACTTACAGTAGGAACTAAGAAACATAAGTACAGAGGAATCAACTTTTATGTACTAAAACATCTGAAGCGAGGGAAGAAAAAGCACACAGGGCAGTACATATGCCATGATACTAGTAATTTTTGTTTGGTATGTCAATTCCTAACACGATGATCTCCACAAGAGAAAAATCAGCACATTCTAAAAAATGCACTATAAACTGCACAGAAAATGTGTTTTAATCAAATATGACTGTAATACAGAACTAGCCAATGGTAATTATCACTGCATCTGCCCACAGTTCAATCAATTACTGCATTCACAGAATAGCACAACCCACCCCAATCTGCTTTATCAACCTGAACTACTGCAAAATGAAAAACTCTGATAGATCTGCAAAAGTTATGTACTACTTCAAAAAACTTTCAGTAAGCTGGATCAGGGATAGCCCATTTTTACAAACACACTAGCTACAATGAAGGTACAGAAAAAGACTGCGTGCTTTCTTCCTAATGAGCACATCTAACCAGCTGGCATATGGGAAGTAGCTGCTATAGTACTGGACTCCACTGCTGTTTTCTTCATCTAGGCTCAACTTCAATCCTTATCAGCTTCACTCTAAGAACAAATATTCACTTCTCCTCAGCTGCAACTCCTGCCTCTCAAAACAGACTACAGGATTAAAGTTCATTAAATTCAGTTTTTTAGGGGGTACTTTCTATTACGAGAGTTGCCAACCAGAGGTAACATTTTTTCTGTGTATGCAAGGTATTATTAAATGGGATTTTCCTGTCACAACAGTCTTTTTCACCTAAAAGTATTTCAGCTATACTTAACCTGTTTTACAGAAAAATCTTTGTGTGTATTTTGTTATCTCCAAGAAGCAAAAAAGCCCCACAAACCCAAACATTCATTAAAGATATTTCTGCACAATACAGCAGACAATACAGAATACTGAGAGGCTAACAAGCTCAGAAAAAACGCTACACAACCTCAGTATCTCTGCAAAAACGTTGTCTATGGTGTAAATACTCCCTTAAAAAGTTTCAAACGTTAGTATCTAATTGTTTATCTTACCTGTAGTAATGCAATAAAAAGAAAAAATGCATTAGCAGCTCTTCTGAACTGGGAATAAAGGAACCTTGGCAAGAATGTGATTATGTTGTACTTTGCAGTGCTGAAAGAAAGAGAAAAAACCCACTCTGTTATTACACTACAAAAAATTCTCCAAGTTTATGCTTTTCCTCGCAGTTAGGCAAACTTTCAAATAAAACTATCTATCTCTTGTGATTTCTGTGCTACCAAGCAGATTTGTTTTGGCCAAAACAGAAACTGAAAGACTTCTACAGAGATGGTCCTGCAGGCATCCATGACATGTCTAACACAGAGAACTGCCTGTCACCCACAGCTTCCACGTTGAGGTAAGAAGTTCCCTCATCACCTCTGCCTGCTCTGTGGAAAGCAGTTGAGCTCTGCTGCCATGCAGTTATAGGCAATGAGGAGAGGAAAAAAACAAAGAGAAGGTAGTGGGCAAGCAGTTACACCAACACCAAGGAGCAGGTAGGGCAGGTTCTCCAGCCCAGACAAGTACCCTGTCCTGGAAGCCATGGCATACACTGGACAGGTAAAACTCATGACGAAAAAGGTATAACAAGCATAATGAGGAGGGTGCTAAATCAGGTCTGAGCAGCTGTGGAGTTTCCGCGCTGGGTATGATTTTACTCAACGCAAAAAAAACCTAACAGGATCAACTGAATTGAAACAGTGTGTTTAAGAAATAATTAAAATTATGAAAATCTGTTAAAAGATAAAAACCTTCACTGAATGAAAAGTTCATTTTTTTTTATTTTAAACTGCAAAATATTTGATAGTAAGTATAGTTTTGCTAGTTTGGAAGAACATAATACATCTTATCCCAGCATAATAATCTCTGCTAAACCATCATCACAAAATGTTTGAGCTCCCAGTTCTTTGTCAGCCCTATATTTGTTTAAGAACAGACCACTACCACCTAGGGTCCTAAAAACAATAATACTGAAAATAATCATGTCAGAAACTTACAAGCAAAAGACTTGTAAGAATATTTTAACCCCTTTTAAAGTTAGTAATATTTTCCTTGACTTTGCATAGGACAGTCAATTTAAAAGGGAGTGTGAATGTATCCTGCAGAAAAGCTCAGCACTGTCAAGAAACAAAGCAAAAAAGTGAAAAAGTTTTGCACACAAACAAAAAGCATTATAAAGTTTCTCAAGTCCATGGAAAAGCCTCATTATTTTTAATGTGTATAAATTTCTGCATACTATCAAAGGTACCTCCAGAAAACACATGTACTTAGGACAGAGGTATCTTTGCCACTTATTTACTTTGAATTTCAACAACAGAACTGAGGGCATTACCAGATTTAAACATGTTACTTATGAGTATTCAGTACATGACTTGAAATTCAACGAAAGAAAAAAACAAAACAACACCTCAACATAAATTATCAGCAGAGTCCTAAAGCCTGAACTTGAAACTCAAACCCAGTTTTACTGTAACTAGCTGACTGAAAAAGACAAGAGTTTCCAGAACACAAACCATGCCATGCTCAAGTGAAGTACATCTGCATTGGCATCCAGTTACCAGAAATACATTCAAAGATGAACTCAGCTGAAAGCTGAAGAAGAAATCCATGCTCTACGGACAAGCTGATGGTGCAGCTGTAAAGCATCCGTACATTCCTCACCCTGTTCTTAAAAATTTAGAAGGTCAGGTTTGCAATTGCAACAGTTCCGCTGCTCTCATTTCACTATATTCCCCCTTCCAGAGTCTGAGACTTCATTTTTGTTACACAACATGCAACGTTATGAAATTAAATATGTACTAAAAAACCACCAGTTAATACCTGACATGATTATTGCAGAATTTGGTTAGCTGGGGCTGGTTGATGAATATAGTTCTCAGTTCCTCTTGATCAGCTAGAGAAGTTTTCTCTGAAACATCATCTGTCTTCTCATAGCCTGAAAAACACAACATGATTTTTCATATAAATAGATTTGTATATGCACATACACAAGACTCAAGGCACTTCATGACAAAAAAGGACATCCATTGTGAATGTGAACTCAATGCATTACCATTTATCACAACTAACGACCCATTAAAAAAAATTATATAGTCAAGGTGCTTTGTAAAGCTATAATACTGAATAATAATTGTAAAATTCACTGATCACATCAGATCACATGGACTTCTGTATTCCCAGGTTAATTGTTCCCTATCCTGATCTTCCTCCACCAAGGTACATCCTTCTTACTTCATCATTTCAAACTGGTATAAGGAACCTGTGGTTTCTGAAGACTGATCTTATCAGCAGACACTAAAGTGGAGAAGGCACTATGTACCACATCCTTTCCTGCGTCCTTTGCTCCAGGTTGCCTGCCCTATTCAGCAGGTAGGGCCACATGTCTTCTTCCTACTGTTACATCTGAAGGAGAATAAGAAGAGCTTCTACAGGCACCTCACCAAATTAAATGCCAGGAAGGCTTTGGCTTTGTCAGACAAGTCCATTCCTCTATACTCTTCTCTAGCCACCCATCCCTGCTTTTTCCTCTCTTATGTTCCCTTTTTACACTTGAGTTTCGTCAGGGACTCCTTGCTAACTGGCACAGTCTCACTGCCACCTTGGCTTGATTTCCTGCTCATTGTGATGGGCCAGTCTTGAATTGGAAGGACATGATCCTTGGAAACTAAGACCACTAATCATCCGTTGGTTAATGGGATACCTTCCCTTCATCTGCTACAAATTTTCTGCAGGACACTAGCCATATTATTCCTAGAGAAGCAACATCAGTATATTCTTCATTTTGTGTGTACTCAACTTGAAATGGTATTATTAGACTTACTGATATTCTCAGTACCTGCCTTCACCAGCCAGTGAAACCTGTGCTTTGTGTATATTCTTCTATAAACGATAAGGAACCTTGTACTAATCTGCATCACGACTTCCATCAGTAAAAGGGGATACCAATGTATTCTTTTCTCTCAAGACTTTTCACTAAGTCAACCACTCAGCCACTACACTGATGACCAACAGGTATAAGCAGTCCATTCAGCCTGGAGCTTGTAAACACAGGCATAGAAAATCAATCACCAAGAAGTTGTAAAATGATAGCAATAAATCTCTGTGTGTATAGCTGCTTGTTAAATAAGCACTCTTCATTCTGCATGCCAAATGAGAAACATACATAGAAGAAAATTATGTTGCAATCATAGAATAGAATCACAGAATAGTCAGGGTTGAAAAGGGCCTTAGGATCATCAAGTTCCAACTCCCCCTGCCGTGGGCAGGGACACCATGTACTAAACCATGTCACCCAAGGCTCTCTCCAACCTGGCCTTGAACACCGCCAGGGATGGAGCCTTCACAACTTCCTTGGGCAACACATTCCAGTGCCTCACCACCCTCACAGTAAAGAACTTCTTCCTTATATCTAATCTAAACTTACCCTGTTTTAAGTCTGAACCCATTAACCCTTGTCCTGTCACTACAGTCCTTAATGAAGGGTCCCTTCCCAGCACCCTTACAGGCCCCAGATGCAACTGAATACATGAGAATGTATATGCATGTCAAGGATAATTAAAACTGTAGATGAAAACTTAAAGCTTATTTCTAGCATTTTTTATAAATCCTTACAAACAGGTTATGCAAAATCCAAGTCATCCTCCAGACCACTGGCTTTCTACATAGCCTCTTACCCATTATATCCAAAACACACATTTCACATGCAACCTTGCAAGATCAAGTCTCCACGCATTGTGAAAGACTCAGCAGAAATTTGTGATTTCATGCTATTTGCCATTCAGAATTCACAGATTCTATTATGACACATGACATCCCTCTATTACATTCATCCACTGTGATGTCTCTATTTCTTTCCTTCCAAATCCCCCAATGTAAGGCACACATTCAACACCCTTCTATTCAAATTTCGGTATGTATTTCAAGGAGTTTGGAAGTTTCAGAGGAAGGGCAGCCAGTTTAACAGACTGGGCCCACCTCAACCATCATACAACCATCATGACAACCATCATACAACTGGCTATGTATGACCTCCAGCACACAATTTCATGAACATATATCCCTATAACAGAACTGTATATAGGTACATCTTTAAGATTAGGTTTCAGTCAAGCTGCAGGTGGACAATCAGTCACACGTTTATACCTGATGCGCCCAAATCCATCACATGGCAAGTGCATCTTCATTCCAGCTATAGGACATTTACTGTCCAGTTGCTCAATGAAGAAGTAAAACCAAAACATGGCTCCTATGAGAGCACACGGTTAGAAAAGTTGGAAACTATTGTGTCAAAACACCAACCTAGCCTGACTAAGTTCAGGAAATACAGAAATATTTTACACATCTGCGGAATGTACTAGTTTAAAGCATTCATTTAAATTAAAACTTACAGCAGAATAACACTTGAATACTGTGATAGAGTTAAAGCAAATGTTATCAGGCATTAAACACTACATATTACCTGTTTGTTAGACTGATAAACTACAGGTATTTATTTTGATGTATCAGCATTCCAGCATTCATTTGTTCTCCTCTAATCAAAAAGACAGCAAAAAATTGCTGAGGAGATTTATAAACGTTCACTGTCTCGCTTCTTACTACCTTGAATTCACTTAATTTCCACACACAAAAAAACCTAAAACAAAAAAACAATCCCCCCCGACCCCCCAAAAAAAACCACACCACAAAAACAAACAAAAAAAAACAAACCCAATATTGATCTTAGGAGTTAAGTTCCGTAGCCTTCTACACTCCACAGCTTCAGTAAAACCATCTCTCCTGCCCTAGAAGCATTATACTACTACTCTGAAAGCTTTAAAGGTTACACATCACTTCCCTGTGTAAACTTTAGAATACATTCACTAGAGTATGCAGACTTGACTGATACATAAAGTTCAGTATCGAGATACAATTTTTCTTTCCTGTTTGTGTGTTTGTCTACATGTGTATACACATACACAAAAATATCTAAACCTTACGCATTTTGTCTCAAACCTGACCTTAAAGAGCTACCTTTCTATGAAATGTTAAAAAAACCAAACTATAAGATAGAGCTTAACTGCTGACTAACATAAGAAAAGGTCTCACATATCAGTGCAGGAAATCTACATAAAAATTCACTACTTTGCAAAAAAAGAAGCTACCAACTGCTTTATTTCTTCCTCTGGAAGTGAGGACCCACTAGCATCAAGCCAATTTGTATGAACTCAGCCTTCTAATCAAATAAGCAGAAGCTGGCCTGTTGTAAGAATCTTGTCCACAAGTAACCACAGTAACAAATAAAAGCATACCCATGCTTAAGAATGGAAGGGAAATCATCTCTTGATCTAGTAGCTACATTTTTGATAAAGATGTGTTTGAAAAGGATGCATTTAACACATAACAAGAAATAAAAAGTGTTGTTTGCTTCTGTAATCTATTAGAAGGTTCCAAGACAACAGAAGAGTGTTGACTCAAACATTCAGAAAGTTGTCAAAGAAAAAAAAAATATACCTGAAGTACAGAATCTAGACAGGAAGAATAAAAATCCCTCAACGCATGCACAAACAATAGCAAAGAATCAGCTGTTACAAAATGCTTGTTAGGAGAAAGTCAGTGTGAAGAATAAAAGAAAATAAGATGGAGCCATCATTCTATTTTTTTTTTCCACGTGTACTTACTGCTGTGTAACAGGTATTAAACTAATGTCCACCTAAGCTGCTTCTTGTTTGTTCACTGCACTTAACATTTTTCCAGGGCTTAAAATTAAGAGCAGCATCACTCTTCTTGGCCTAAAGGCCAAAATTTAAGGTTACAAAAAATTATTAAGCACCTATTAATAATAATTTTGAAGTCTCACATCTAGCAAACAGCAGTTATCACATTTCAGACAGGAACTGTGATGCTGTAAGACCTCCCATTCAGAATGAAGAACAAGTATATTGTGTGATCTTGCGAGACCTCACTTGGCAGTACTGTGTGTAGTTCTGGTGTCCTCAACACAAAAAGGACATGGAACTGTTGGAACAAGTCCAGAGGAGGGCTACGAGGATGATCAGGGGACTGGAGCACCTCCCGTATGAAGACAGACTGAGAAAGGTGGGGCAGTTCAGCCTGGAGAAGAGAAGGCTGTGTGGAGACCTCATAGCAGCCTTCCAGTATCTGAACAGGGGCTACAGGGATGCTGGGAATGGACTACTCATTAGGGAATGTAGTGATAGGACAAGTGGTAACGGGTTCAAACTTAAACAGGGGAAGTTTAGATTGGATATAAGGAGGAAATTCTTTACTGTAAGGGTGGTGAGGCACTGGAATGTGTTGCCCAAGGAAACTGTGAATGCCCCATCCCTGGCGGTGTTCAAGGCCAGGCTGGACAGAGCCTTGGGTGACAGTTTAGTGGGAGGTGTCCCTGCCCATGGCAGGGTGGTTGGAACTTGATGGTCCTAAGGCCCTTTTCAACCCTAACTGTTCTATGATTCTATTATATGATATTCCAAGACTTCTCTTCCTCTGCTGTGGAGTGCAACATTGCCTATATTTAATTATAGCTGAGTTGATATTTAACCACAGCTGAATTATCAAGCAGATTCTATGACATACATTCATACATGCCCCCACTGATGGAAAAGCATCTGACTTGAAAATAGTTGTAAGTCAGCACTTTAAACAGAATTATAAGAAATGTTAACACATCACATTGAAAGTTTATTATGCAGAAATGACAAGTTTCAGAACTGATTTCCTCTTAACATTCAGAATCCCACTTTCTAATAATATAGTTTGATTATTTTATAATTTTGTCGCTACAGGGCCAAACCCAACTAAAAATATGCTTTGATATCAGAGGAATGCAACTATTACTCTCATCAGAAAGTTCACTTGCAAAGCTGTTCCATAAACTAGAATCACTGTACATAATTTTTTGTTCTGCACTCTGAAAGTTATTTCCTAGTGGAACAC